TGAGGATGCCGACCCTAGGTCTGCGCGCAGAAGGAACGCGGCCCCTGAGGACTCCTCCGAAGAGGAAGAGGATGATGAAGATGAGGAAGAAGCGCGCAAAGTAGGCGCTTGACTTCCAAATTTCCTTGATGACTGACTAATCTTTTTCCTTAGATTCGCGAAGGATTCATCGTCGACGAAGATGAGGAAGAGGAAGAAGGCGAGGACGAAGATGCCCACGAGCGAAAGCGGAAGCGAGAGCATCGTGACAGGGAAGAAGAAGAGCAGCTAGATGAGGATGACTTGGAACTCATCGGTGAACAAATTGAACGCAGAGCACCAACACAGGTATGATGCTCACCACGACTTTTTGCTGCAAACTGTGCTAACGTGTATGCAGCCTAAGTTCAAGCGTCTCAAACGGGGACATCGAGACGAGGATGATCGTGGCCCCGAGCGACGCGGCCTGGAAGACATGTTCTCCGATGACGATGAGGAAGCCAACGATCAAAGACCATACGGCCGATCAAACTACCGCCCCCAAGCCGACGAATTCGAAGACTTCATTGAAGAGGACTATCCGGAAGATGAGGACGAACGAGCGCGCCAGCAAGAAGATGCCGAAGTCGCCCGTCCCCGCGACAGAGGGGTCGGCGGTGTCGTTGACACCGCCGGCCTCGACAAAGACGCCCTGGAGGATATGGAGGCCATCTTTGGTAACGGAGAGGACTACGGCTGGGCTCTTATATTGGAAGATGAAGAAGAAGACCGCGAGCGTGACGAACAGGTTATTGAACTCAAGGACGTTTTTGAGCCTTCGCAGTTGAAGGAGAAGCTCTTGACCGACGAGGACAATCAGATTCGATTCACAGACGAGCCCGAAAGATTCCAGTTGGACCGAAAGCCCTTCAAGCACTTGCAAATTAGCGCCGAGCAGTTCAAGGAAGAGGCTCGATGGATTGCGGGTTTGATGTGGCCCAAAAAGCTGCTCCAGTCCGAACTACACGGACCTTTCACCAAGGCGATTGGGAAGGTGCTCGAGTTCTTTGTGGTTGACGACGTTGAGGTTCCCTACGTCTTTCAGCATCGCAAGGATTACCTGATCCACGCCAAGAAGACCAAGAACCCCGACCATCGCGACGATCCCGACGCCCCTGAATGGATCATCACCGCAGACAAGCTTCTTACTCAGGACGACTTGTGGCGGATTCTGGAGCTCGATATCAAGTTCCGCTCACTGATCGAAAAGCGGAACGCTCTCGAAAAGACGCTCGAGAGCCTGAAATCTGCTGCTGGCATCAAGGACAATGTGCTCGAGGATATGATTCCCCAAGCTGCGACCATGGAAGAATTGCAAGATCTTCAGGACTACCTTCACTTCCAGTACACCACCGAGCTCAAGGACCTGTCTTTCATGAACGGCAACGGCAACCAGATGAAGCGCCCAGGCTCCAAGTCAAATCTTGTTGATAGAGTCAGGAGGAGCAAAGCTGTCGGCTTTGTCCGTGCCTACGGTATCACTCCGGATCGATTCGCCCAAAACACTCTTCGCGAGGGCAACAAGGTTTGGGCCGACGATGACAGCCAACTTCCGGACGACCTCGCCGATTCCCTTACGGATGAAGAATTCCAGACCGGCGATACTGTCATGTACGCAGCTCGCCAAATGTATGCAGAGGAATTGTTTGTCAACCCTCGCATGCGGAAGCACTTCAGAGTCAACTTTTACCAGATGGGCGAGATCAGCTGTCGCCGGACAGAAAAGGGTTTGAAGAAGATTGACGAGTCACACCCGTTCTACGAGGTCAAGTACCTCATCAACCAGACAATAGCCGACGTTGCTCGCCAGCCAGATCTTTACCTCAAGATGATGAAGGCTGAGGAAGAGGGCCTCATCGAGGTCAAGCTAACATTGGAGAACGACGAGGGCTTCAAGCGTTCATTGCGCCAGGAGTTCATTTCAGACAACTACAGTGAGCTTGCCGATCGATGGAACGACGAACGACAGAAAGTGCTCGATCTCATTGTTCCCCGTCTTTCGAAGATCATTGCCAAGGGCGTCAAGGAGTCGCTTCGGACTGCGTGCCAAGAAGAAGTTCTCAAAGCCTGCCGCGAAGAATACTCAAAGAGACTTGATCAGGCACCATACAAGCCCAAGGGTATGATTCTTGGCACACTGCCCCGCATCATCACTCTGTCCAACGGAATGGCAGATCCAGCTCGCGATCCCACAATCTGGGCCTCCGTTGAGGAAGATGGCCGTGTCATTGAGCAGGGCAAATTGGGCAATCTAGCTCGTGATGAGCGAGCTCGCGAAGACTTCGTTGAGATCGTCAACAGACGCCGCCCTGATGCTATCGGTATAAGCGGATGGTCTGCAGATACCCAGAAGCTTGTGAGAGACTTGGAAAGTTTGATCAGCGAGAAGGGCTTGATGGGGCCCGAGTTCGACGACCCTGAACTTGGAGAGTACCGCACTGAGCCACTCGAAGTCATCGTGGTCAATGATGAAGTAGCTCGTCTCTACAAGGACAGCCCCCGGGCAGTCGCCGAGCACCCTACTCTCAGTTCCCTTACAAGATATTGCATCGCTCTGGCGCATTACATGCAGAATCCCCTCAAAGAGTATGCGGCTCTTGGCAAAGACATTGCATCGCTAGCTTTTCATCCGTGTCAAAATCTGCTACCCCATGAAAAGCTACTCAAGCACCTTGAGTCAGCAATGGTCGACATGGTTAACCTGTGTGGTGTCAACATCAACGAGGCTGTGGGCGATTCATACACAGCAAACCTTTTGCCTTATGTCGCCGGTCTTGGTCCCCGAAAGGCTACAAGCGTCATCAAAGCCATCAACGCAAACGGAGGGGCTGTCGGCAGTAGAGATGAGCTGGTTGGCGATCCCGACAGTGGAAAGTTGCCAGTTGTGGGCCCGAGAGTTTGGAACAACTGCGCCAGTTTCCTTTTCATCGACTACGATGCGACCAATCCCACCTCGGATCCCCTCGACAACACCCGTGTTCATCCAGAGGACTACGAGCTAGGTCGCAAGATGGCAGCTGACGCTCTTGAACTTGATGAAGAGGATGTCAAGGCGGAGACGGATCACAATGGTCCTGGTGCCATTGTCAGGAAACTTTTCAAGGAAGACGAACAGGAGAAGGTTAATGAACTTATCCTTGAAGAGTATGCTGAGCAACTCGAGCGCAATTACAGCCAGAGGAAGCGCGCTACGCTCGAGACGATTCGGGCTGAGCTTCAAGCTCCGTACGAAGAGTTGCGCAGAAATTTCTCAGGCCTCGGCCCGAACGAGATTTTCACCATGTTCACTGGTGAAACCAAGGACACTCTCGCTCAGGGCATGATCATCCCTGTAAATATCCGAGTAGTGAAAGACGACTTCGCCATAGTCAAGCTTGACTGCGGTATTGAGGGCCGCATCGAGTCGCATGATGGTCCTGATGGTGTTCGGGTCAGAGGTCTTCTGACGAACGGGCAGACGGTGCAAGCCAAGGTTCTTGAGGTGAACTACAAGGACTTTTTGGCCAAGCTTTCTGCAAGAGAAGCCGAAGTCAAGCGCCCCTACAAGCGCCAGCTGTACCACGGTCATGGGCAGTGGGATGAGAGACTGGAGGCAGCCGACAAGGAAGAACTTCGCGAGAAGGATAAAACCACGGGACGCACCCAAAGGGTCATCAAGCACCCGCTTTTCAAGCCATTCAACGGATTGGAAGCCGAACAATGGCTTGGTACCCAAGCTGCCGGAGAGGTCATCATCCGACCCTCCTCAAAGGGTAACGATCATCTGGCTATCACCTGGAAGGTCGCCGATGGTGTTTTCCAACATGTCGATGTGCTTGAGCTCCAAAAAGAAACGGAATTCTCCGTCGGCAAGCTTCTTAGGGTGGGCGGCAAGTTCACCTACAAGGATCTGGATGAGCTGATCCACGAACACATTGAGGCTATGTCTCGAAAGGTGGATGAGATGATGCAACATGAGAAGTTTGAAAAGCGGTCCAAGACAGATCTCGGTATGTGCTCCTGTAATTTACCATCAAGTGAACGACAGCTAACCATACAATGCAGAGAAATGGCTCACTACTTACATCGATGCCAACCCAAATCGATCTGCCTACGCCTTCTGCATTGATCCCAAGCACCCTGGCTACTTCTGGCTGTGCTTCAAGGCGAGTCGTGGATCACGGGTTAACTCATGGCCTGTCCGTGTCATTCCCGGCGGCTTCGAGTTGCTTAAGCAGGCCTACCCTGACATGAGAGCGCTTTGCAACGGCTTTAAGATCCGTTACCAGACCGAAATCACCAAGATGCAGAAGGGCGGCGGTAGATAGAGTCTTCCCGCCCCTGGCACAGGAACTTCCGCCCACGAAACGCAAGACTATGTCACGGGCAGGTTGTCGCCTGGAAGCTACTATTGAGAACGGGATGACAAGAACGGACGACACTTGATAATGATGAAGAAGCAAAAAGACACTATCTCAGAAATGCGGCCGGGGAGACAGGCCGCGCCACAGTGAAGGAGTGCGTGGAAATATTTTATTTGGGAACTCCTTGGTTCCCTGGAATCAGTTGAGGGGGTTTTCACGGAAGCGAACGGTACCACGCATTATCATCATTCATGTAGATTAGTAAAAAAGGCCCTCGAAGGTCAAAAAGCCAGTAGACAAAAATTGGAATTTCTCAACGACCTCAGTGAGCACTTAGCCCAACCATGATGTTTTCTCTTGCCAACAGACTGCCAAACATTGATTGAGGTCTATGTTAAAGGTTGAGTCTCGATGTCTTTCAACAAAGAGTGATTTAACAGCCAGACAGCCTGGTTTTGAATGTCGCTAACTCTAAGTGAATGCTTCGATAATATACCGATATTGACAAAAGGAAAGAGCATGGCAGGATTTAGTGTCTTGGTCTCTTTGTACCGACTTGCATGCACTTCAATATACATTGAATATTGTTGTAACATCCACCACATCAACATCCGTCTAAAAGGCAAGGCATGCAGTCATCTACAGAGTCAGGGCGGCAAGAACACCCATGGCCATCAGCAAGAAGCTGGCACTCACCTTCACGGTGGCATTGACAATGATGGCCGGCTTGGTAGGGCAGCTGGCGTCGGAGCAGCTAGTCGTCGACGCACCTGGGGCCGTTCCTGGGGGCTTGGACGCAGTAAGAGTGGTAGGCTTGGTCATTGGGATGGTAATGTTCAAGCTGGGGGGAGGCCTGTGGATAGCACCGTTGCCCTTACTGTTCCCGGAAATGTTACCACCGGGAGCGCTGGGCTTGAGGGGAACGCCGGAGGACGAGACCATGAAGAGGTTCTTGGTACGCCGGGGGCGGAGTTGGGGCCCGACGGGACTGAGGGGACGACCTTGGTCACGATAGGTACGGCGGTGCCAGCGGAAGAAACTGACGTAGTGATGATTTTGGTGGTGACGCTGCCGACGGGGCAGTCTGTGGCGGAGTGCGGGCACTTGGTGATCGTGTAGGCGATGGTGAAGGTAGTGGTCGAGACGCCTGGGCTAGGACCAATTTCAGGCTTTTCGTTGCCCTTGAGCGGCATGGTGGGCTTGGGAGCAAGGAGGGACGAGACGGGGCAAACTGTGGTGTAGAGGGTGATGGGAGAAGTCGTCGAAGCCGCCTGGGTCTGCTCGCTGCTGACGCCAGTCTTCGTGCTGGTGGTGTCGCTCTCGGTGCAAACATCCTCATCGATCACACTATTGAATTTGATAGAGATGGTGTCGGACGCGCTGATGGTAGTGGGCTTGGAACCGGTAGCACTTGTGGTGATGGGGCCAGTGGGAGTGACGGAGGCGGAAGCAGAAGCAGAAGCAGAAGCAGAAGCAGAAGCAGAAGCAGAAGCAGAAGCAGAAGCAGAAGCAGAAGCAGTTGTAGAGGCGCCAGAGGTAGCCTTGGAATCAGGGACGCTGATAGATGTGGCTTTTGCCGTGACTGAGCCGCTGGCGGAGGCAGAGATGGAGGCGCTCGTAGTGGTTGAGGCGGAGGTGGAGGCAGATACGGGGGTGGCAATCGAAGCAGACGATATGGTGACAGATGTCGATGTGGAATTCGAGGCAGAGTAAGAAGCAGAAGCGGACAAAGAGGTCGTCGCAGGCTTGATGCCCTCCTTGAACACACGAATGTCCTTGATCTTAAAATAGGTATCCTTGTAGGCGCCGGGGTTCGCTGCGACATACGAGGAGCGGACGGCGTGGCCGGTGGACGCGGCGCACTGGTCCTTCCAGATGTACTTATTTCCGGCGAGGACGCCACAGAAGTCAATGTTCAGGACAAGTCTCTGGTCAGAAAAGTGGCTGTTGATTTTGCACTTGTCGTTGGCGATGAGCATGGAGGGAGTTCCCCAGGAGGAGGTATCGGGCGAGTTGGAGTCGATATTCTTGGGGGCGGCAGAATGGGTCCAGGCTGGATATGATGTTAGATGTCTGTTATGAACATGTTTATAATGTTTGTAAGAGATTCGAGGGTTGCTTGCCAAAGAACTTGATGTAGTCATCTGTCCACTCAACAGCATCTGCGGGTGACTGGTTAGACAGGTATCAAAAGACGGAGGTGCTGGTTTCACTCACAGATACCACCATCAGTGGAGCCCCACGGGTCAGTAGAGGTGGCTGTGGTGGTACATCCCTGGTTGGCATATTGACCGGGAGCCTGGTGATCACAGTCGGCCGTGTCGACCTTGGAAGTCTGCCCTGTCTCACTGATGATACACTGGCCCTGCTCGGATGTAAGGTAGGTGTGAGCAGCAGGCTTGTTGATAGCCTGTCATGGATGTTTAGGAAGGCGATAATGGTGTATGATGCAGACTATATCCTCACTGCATTTTTCCAGCCCTCAAAAAAGTCAAACTCGCCCTTCTTAGGCCAGGGAGCACCGTTTGACTAACTTCGACAATGTTAGTCTATGGACATACGAGGACCATGCTCGGCTAGAGAACTTACAAGGCAGGCCAAGCACCGCAGACAGGCTTAGGAAGATGAGAAAAGCGGGCGACCATCAGAGACTTGTTGTAGATGGCTTTGCTCTCAAGTCTCACACTTGAACGACTAATACCAGGAAACTCGGTGACGTTTTGGGTATCGGGGCCCACGTAGACCTCTCCGCCGGCGTTGCTGATGAAGCCCAGCTTCTGGGCATCGGCACGGGTGCGGTAGTTGATGTAGCCCGAAGTGAGGTCGACGTCGTTATAATCGCCAGTACTGTACTTGCTCTCAAAAAAGTCAAATTTGTCGAAGAAGTTTGTGGAGTCGTATGTGTCATCGAGATCAAACTGCTTGGCGACGGAATCACCAGTCAAGGCCAGGACAGCCGTGCCGAGGGTAAGGAATGAAGGAGTCATTACGAACTATATTAATTTATTCAAAGAGAGACTTGGTGTAAGCTGTAGAGAGAATAACGAATGACTTGACGTGAAACACGTCGTTGGACCAGCAAGGCTGCTCTTGGAGTTGTTGGACGACACGGCTACTGGCGTATGTAATGCGTGAGGTAAATGGAACGGAGCTCAATCTAGGCGGATGAGGTGCCGCTTAAGATGTTCTGCCATTCCACTGTGAATGGTCGAGCATCTCTCCTTTGCCGCTGACACGCAGGCATGGCTGGTCACTTACACGGCGAGAGACACAGCGACATGGCGGGCTAGACGTCCTTGAAGGGCTAAGCGAGATTCTCATCTTGGAAACAACCTCCTTTACGGCCCGTCGAACAGACTTTTCGGTGGCCTCTTGGGTCAAGCTGGAATCGCCAATGCAGTCTGTGTGTCCCGGAACGGAAAGCAGGGCTGCAAAGAAGGTCAGCCGTCTTCTCTACGATGCCAGTTGCGTTTGCAAGTCTCCAACGATGGCTACCGGGGCCAAGCATCGTGAGGTCCGGGCATCAGCCGGAGAGGGTAACTTGACTACGCCGAATCAGGTGCGGGTAAGGGGCACAGGAAATTACAGATTGGGCAAAGATTGACAGTGATTGGGGGGGCCCCGCGATGGCTGCCACCGGGGCGTCGAGCGATGTGGTAGTCTTTCGACTTACATGGGCCGACGGGCTTACTCAAAGAGGGTGTTGGTCGGCAATTATTTGAACCAGATACCAGCCGCGAGGTGCGAGGTGCGGCTGGATTGGGTGGCTTTTGCGGCTAATTGGGCTACCACCGACTCCCCTCGACTCGATGCAGCCGCTCTATCGATTCCTATGCAATGTGGTGGAATAGGCTGCAGGAGCACGAACACATATAATCCGGGAATAAAAACAAGGGTCCTCTCATTTTTAAAGTACCGTGAATTATGCTCAGAAGAGCAGACTGCGAATATTGTGCGGTTCCTGCTTGTGATAGATCCTTTTGGGGGGGTATTTGCGGCCCATCCCGTCAAAGTCCGTGTGACAAGCGACAGTATTCCGTTTCCCACACCGGACCAGGCTTCAGGAGAAGATGAACATGCCAGTCTCGATTGCGATGCTATTCTCGGATATGGCTGAAGATGAGAAGACGCGGTGCGCAAGTATGGCAAATGCTTGGCAGGGTCTCAGCGCTCAAGAGTAGGAACACAGGAGACAGGGTGATCATGGGATAAAGACGGAGGGTCTATTAGGGTGATAGGTATCCATGATGAACTCGCAGATGTTTGCGGGGCCACTCTTTGTATCTTGGGCTATACCAAATTTGAGAAAGACACCGAGATAGTAAGCAGTTTTAAGCCGTTGGTGGTGAATCCGGCGACGACAGCCGAAACTCCGCATCGTGACAAGGTTCCTCAAATGCAATAGACGTCAACATGCGGCATAGCGTAGGCAGATATGCATGAAATGGATCTTTTGTAAGCTGCCGAGGACCCGTTGCGAGAAGGTGGTCGACAACGTGAGCAATTGGAACGTGGAATATCGGTCTCCCTATAGTTTAGAATTCTCTAACCTGGTTCACCTTTTCGTCGTGACTCATGAGAAGTGTGATGCCCCTGCTCTAGGTAGCGCCGAACCATCGTGGCGGAAGTGGAACCAAGACGAGGCACAAGGGCGAACAAACAAAATAGACTCAACGCCTGAATAGGAGTAGTGTCGAACAGAACATTGACGCCGCGCTACCCAAAACCTGCCAATGGCACCGTGCTTGCTGCTCGGCCGAGAATTGCGGGAACTGTGATGGGGGAGAAGACCATGCTTGAGAGAAATTGAATTGCCAGCATATACGTGGCTTTGTATTTGTTCTGCAGAGGACGCTGGACGGCGTGGAGGTTGCCAAAATCAGACCAGTCCGTGATTATCTTTGCCGTGTCGGTTCTATCTTCCCACTGGACTCGGTACAGGTTGACTCATTTTATATACTCCCCCTGACTCACTGCTGATCGGAAAGGGTGTGGAGGCGGATGGAAAGCCTGCTTGACGGAGAACAATCTCGTCCCACGGACATAGTCCTATGACTAGTACATTAGGTCTTCTGCTACCGTCGGAGCCTTTCCATCTGCCCTCGAAGTCTTGTAGTCTAGCATTGCATAAGTTTTTGATGTTGCAAGGGATCGTGTTGAAAAAAGAGAAGGATAGAAACAATTCCGAATGTCAGACGAAGTTGAGAAGATATATTTAACGCGGTGTTTGTCGGCACTGCACCACTGGCTCTGGGACAAGCCCTTAACCTCAAGGTGCTCCGCTGGCCCCGCGTGCGTCATCAAGTAAGAAGGAAGGCGCCGGAGGAAAGAGAGACCACTTACACTGAAAGTTATATTGTACGCATGGGTATCTTTTTTCTTCTTCTTCTTTTGGATTGGATTGGATTGGAGAGATCCTATGCAGAATCATGTTTCGGGTCTGAACTTGCCGCGCTTCTCCTTCATTGCATCGACCTTTCTCTTGTCCTCGTCAAACCTCTTCAGCATAGCAGCCTGTTCCGCCTTGCGACGCTCGCGTAGCTGGAAACGGTAGAAGTCCGTGGTCTCATCCTTCTTCTTCGAGGCCCTATCAATCATCTTCTGTCGGGCCTCCTCGGCCTCGTTCTTGTTTGCCGGTGCGACGCGGCCACCACGGACAACAGTAACGAAGCCGTCCTCGTCTGGCTCGTTGCGCAGCCTCTTGGCCATCTCTGCAGCTTCCTTCTCCTTGCGATTGAACACGTTGAAGAACGCATGTACCGATTTTTGCGTCGCCGCCTTGTCACAGCGCGATAGCTGGATGTGCGCAGATACCCATTCTGAGCCGAGCTCTGGCTCATCTTCGGAGACACCCTGTCCCCAGACGGGAAACTTTGTCGTCTTGTTCGCTTTCTTTATGGCCTTTAGCACGAGCTCGACGCTCTTCTCGTCGGCGAAGAGAACAATGGCGCTGCTACCGCTTTTCCGTAGCCTCCTCGTCCATGTTTCGGGAAGTCGGGCAACTTCTTCTTCCTTGGCCCTCTCCTCGGCCTCCTGTTCGCCGCGCTTGCGTTTCTTGCCTAGACCCATGATCCTCGCGGCGTTGACTGGGTCGACAGCTGCAGCATTCTTCCGGTCATCCTCGAAAGCAATGCTCTCGAAACGACCGGGACCGACAAGGGCGGAGAAAACTTGGCGGAAATGAGCTTCGGTGCTGTCCACAGGGACATTCTTGAGGAAGAGACTTCGATCATCGATCTCGGTCGGTATCTTGGGCGCATTTCGTCGAACACGGATCTCGTGAAGAGCAGTAATGGGGTATGAGGGGAGGGCTGGGAGCTTCACTGGGAAAACTATGAAGCCATCTCCTTGGGACTCGGCAGTTGACATGTTGTTGGGAATTTGGCTCAACGCGAAGATATGTTGTCGTCCTGTGGAAATGAAACTTAGCAGCCAGAATTCTCGTCGGATCGAAGCCAACCCGAAAAAAAAAGTTAAGGTGGGTCTTGGATCGTTATCAATCTCTGCTATTGGTTTGTGCACAGTACCTAGCCCGTGTTCCATTCCGCACTCCACCACTATTATCATCGGTGAGGATCCGTTACACCGAGCTACAACGAATTCTAGGTCAGGTGAGCGGGTTGTCCAACTTGACGGCCCTGGAGCATGATTGCGTTCTTTCTTGATCGCTGCCTACTTTGTAATGGAGATTGAATCTGTTTAGGAATTGAGCTGAATTTGAAATGAGACCGACCAGGCGGAAGTCATCTAGCAAAAGGCGGGTTCATCGATTGGAGTACCGTCAAATCTCAATGGCTATCCTTCCCATACCACGACTCACGCAACTCAGCATTGACTCGAGTCTATCGTCGGCGGACAGAGCTGTGCCCCTGTGATCAACCCGACCGTTCTTGAGCACAACCTTGCAAGTTCCACAATTGCCGACTTCACAGCTACTCTCCACATCTCCCCCGACCTCTCGCTTGAGTACCTCCAGCAGCGTCTCCTCCTCGCCAACCTTCAAGACCTTGCCGTCTCGGTTGAGAACCTCTGCTTCGAACGGGTCCCCGGATGTGTCGGCAGCAAAGGCTTCGTAATGTATGTCGCTCTTATCAAGCCCGCATTCCTCCGCGGCTATTCTTGCGGCCTCCGTCATTCTCGTCGGTCCGCAAACGTAGACATGGCTGTTCCACTTGAGCGTTCTCAAAATTTCGCCAATGTCCATCTGCTTGCCTTTAGAACGATCGTATAGTAGAACACTTCTGCCAAGAGCATCCAAGCGAGAACGAAACGGTACATCGTCGGCCGAGCGGACAGCGTAGTGCATCTCAAAACTGTAGTGGACTTGGTGGTAAGCCTCAGCAAGGGCCAGAAAGGCGGTTATGCCGATACCGCCTACGATAAAGACGTGGTTGCTTGAAGCAATGGCAACTTTAACGTCGGCAGTCATCCGCCCAACCTGAAGTATGTCACCGATGGCTGTGGAGTTGTGGAGGTAGATGGACCCCCCACGGCCTGTGTCCTCGAGAGCAACGCCGACCTCGAACTTATTGCGGTCCCCGGAAACGATGGAATAAGACCGCAGGAGACCGTTCGGTAGCTTAAGCTTTGCGTGGGATCCTTTGTCGAGATATTCCGGGTTCTCGATTGGGTTGACGGCCTTGAGGATAAACGACGCGACTCTTGAGGTTTGTTTTGTCTTTCCAATGATTCTAAAGTCTCTCCACCGGTCCCCCTTTTCCCTCTTGCCTTGAGCCTCGGCCTTGGCCACTCGTCGCTGGAATGCTCCACGGCTTTCTTTGCCCATATCTTCAATTGCCGCAAGTTCCTTATTCATGGCCATGTCATTTTGGTTCCTGTGCAGGTACTCCTGGATCCTCTCAATGGTCCACTTGGGCCATTTGCGCTCAATGAGCCTGATTTCGTCGCCAGCCTTGACTGTTCCCACTTTCAGAACACGATAATACCAGCCAGTTCTACTAGACTTGAACGTCGTGGGCGCAAAGTTCTTCAACTGGAAGCGGTGGTTAAGCTTGTAGCATGGTTGTCGTGGCAAACTGACTTGGAGCACGACGTTATCACCAACAGCGATGACATCGCCGATGCATACGTTGCGCTCGTTCATGTGTCTGGTGACAAAATTTTCGCCGAAAGCTCCCGGTTTGAATCTGTCTGCTGCGATTGGATATTCTTCCTTCCAACCAGAATAGTGAGAAGAGCAATCTAAACCAACTTTCAGAATTGCTTCATAATGGCAGAACGCCTGAACAATCATCGCGATGTACCTACAGCCATGGATCGCCTTATCCGGTCCGCCATGAAAGGTTGGATCATGCTCATCCGCCTCGAGCCCGAGATGCGAAACATGAATGGGGCCATGCCTCAAATCCTTGTCGATTCCGGACGTGACCTCTAGTCCGGGCATCTTCTTCATCACGCTGGTGCGAACCTCCAACAGAGTGTCGCTGGTGAAGGGTGACCAGAGGTCAATTTCTTTGTCCAGACTCATAGTCGGCGGGTTTCTTAGTAAATGAGTGCTGAATTGTGTGTTTGTTGTGGAGAAGGGCAAAAGGATGCAAGAAGGGAAGTCGCAAACCACAATTGAAGATTCTACCTGACGGCCTAGTCTTGTTTCGCATGCTGTTGCCCATATGCTGCCCGCAACCGTGCAGAAACTCAATCCGCACAGTAACATGCAGCGCGCTTCTTGTACAGCATCGAACAGTATAAGAGTACCGGCAAACCTTTTTTTGACTTCCATGGACTAGAACTCTATGACAACAGAATCACTGGCATCTAACTTGAGACAGTATACTTAAGGTAATTTGCGTGTCCGATGTATGGAGAAAAGCTCTCGCAAGAGGCTCGTAGATCCCATGGTGCAATGAAGACTAAGCTGGGATCCAATGGCCAAGGAATGTGGTCATGTTTGACACTTCGAAGCCACCAAACTGTTGATCTATTCGAGGATGACATAACGATGCTTATCACATCTTGCACGATGGCAATCGAACCAAACAGAGCGGGTGACAGCACCAACAGTTGTAAGCACTAAGGTGGCCGGATGCCGGGGTTCGCCGGACAAAGTCCCGGTATGGATCACCCACCCACAGCTTCGGGCCCAGGATGCGCGGGGGGGCGAGGTGTCACACGGGGTTCTGAAGACATAGGTCAAGGCACCTTAGATTTCGACCTCCTGCAAATACAAGGCTGTCGGTCAGCTAGATATCCAGAAAAGGGCTGGCCGCTAAACGAGTCAGACTCGAAATTCTAAGCGCGAAAAGCGGCGTTCGAGTGAGTTAATCGGGGTCAGTGAGCAGTCATGAAGGAAGAACACGAGAGTATCGGGGAGATTTGCTTTAAGTTGCCGAATATATACATGTCTCAGTGAAGTAATCAAGACGACGTGGAATACGTATACATGATTGCCCAGGATAAGTTCACTAGTCCTGAAAACTTTGGCACTCCAAACTTCCAGGATCATATGCACCTCGTAGACTTCCTTCCCCAACTGACTTTAGGATCGAGTTGGCTATTGAAAGAGAAGACTTCGATCCGCCCGGTCCGATTGCCTTTCTTGGTCTGTTAGTTTTGGGCTAGGTAGCAATCATTCGAAGACGATAGAAAGGCCTTGAGATGACGAGTGATGATGTTTTGTGAGGCTGTGGTAGAACTCAGGCAGCTACCGAGTTGCTTTGATCATATAGCATCGCGTCACGCGTCACTCTTCAAGTCTCCAGTCGAGGGAACGAGCATGCACCAGGAATTGGCGTAGTTGAGCCCAAGCCAGCACTAGATTCTCGGGCATCAACTGACACCTGATGTCACGCCACACACGGCTTTCTAGGTCTGCTGGATTCTGCACTTCTTTGCGCAGGGAAGCATCGCAAAGAGTGCACAAGACACCCGTCAGTGGAACGTGGCTGGCCCAGTGGAAACCGGCGGCAGACGCTCCGATGGGAGACTTGGCTGGAATATTCGTGAAGGCATCACTTGATGACGCCCGTCGGTGGGACAATGTCCGGCGAATGGGGCATTGCCACATACTTTGTTCGAGCCGACGTCAGTCGGACAAGTGTTCCCGCTGCTGGTAGGTCAGCCATGCTGATGCTCTCGAGGCTCGGGCATTATGAGAAGGAAACTGCGGCGAAAACTTCTGACATGCTTGCGCTAGTTCAGGATCGCCAACATAGCAAAGCTGACCTTCAAATCGAATCAGTCAAGTAACGTCAGCCTCATAATTATCGGGCCTGGCAAGCTGAAATTCCAGTTCGACGATGGCTCAGGGTTCCTTTCGGCACATGACAACGAAGAACGGGCGCAGATTGGAATTGTAGTTTGAGGCTTTTTCGGTTGGCCCAAGCTGGCCAAGTGCAGCCCTTTGCCATGGCGATGATCCTTAGAGGATCATGAGTAAGGCACGTCGCTAGAATCGCGTTGCAATCAGACATTCCACTGAAATAGAACAAAGCTGATGATGCTAAATATAAACTTTGAGTGAGGTATGTACGCAGATGACGGGCACTGTTAGACCCAAGTCACTCGAATGGCAACCTGTAAGGCAGTGACGATATTTTCAGAACGTGGAGAGAAAAAAGTTTGGCCTACGCGGTGTTGGCATGGGGAAACAAAGCCGCAGAGCCGCATGGACATGATCCGAAAATTCATTTTCGATGAAAGGAGCTCATCTCAGCCAATGTGATTATGCATGGCACTGTAGAAGAGGAAGTCTAGACGAGAGTCAGCTGCTGGGCCCAACCTCGAGAGGAGGAGGAGCTTGCTTACCTTCGGACGGGTCAACTTGAGAGAGATTGAGGCTCTGCGACTAGGGTGCAATGTTTGTGGCTGTCCTTGACTCCTTGCAGAGGTGCAGGGGTCGCGAGTGATCCACACTCCTCCAAGGGAGTACCAAGTATCCGTAATTACCTCTCTTTTTCGCTGCGCAGCCTGATATCGCAGAGCCGCATGTGGAGCTAAGTGGAAAGCAGAGGCCTGCGGGGCAAGACGGGCAATAGACGGGCAACAGACGGGAGTATTCCTGCATTCCCGATGCTGATCAAATGACCGGCCAGGTCAGTAAACTAGGGAACCCCTGTAGTCTTTTTCGTACAGCTCGTCGTTGTTCGTTGCTGAGCCGTCCACTTGCTTCACAAACCACCAAGCAGGCTCTCTGTTGTACTGCTTATTCGAGAGACACAGGCTCTTTTATTACCCCGCTGGACCAGGCTGCATTGGCCGGTGGATCTCGCTCAAATTATTTACCTTAGCTCCATTACAGGCCCAGTGATGTCTTGGACAGATATAGTGTTCAATATGAAGGAAGGCTTTGTTCAGAGCTCTGTTCTGGACCGGAGGGACTCTCAAGCTGAGGCTCAAATGATCTACTGGATCCGGGCGTGTCTGAGATTTTGAGACTCTGCTCATTTACATTCACCTTATAATGAGCTACAGTCGTCCCTCTGGCTGGAAAGTTCAACCTGCATAACAAGTGGCCGCCTCAACAATCAGTTGCCTGAAGGTAGTTGTGACTTGACCACCCCTCCCTCGAGCTACCTACATCCTTCCCAGGTTGCCTTGCCAATGTCCAGCATTTGATCCTTCACCCTATTACAACAACATCTCAACCGAATGTTCGAGAGGCGGGTCTATGGCAGCCGTCGACTTTGCAAGGATGCAAAGGCTGCCTATCGAGATTATGACATATATCGCAAATTCTCTGAATTTACACGACATTTTCAACTTGAGCCTCGCCTGCAGACAGTTCAGGTACCTCGTGGACAATGATGACATTTGCCGGGCCGCCTTGGAGGTGAGCATCATTCTACGACAACAAATGTAATCATTTGAGTGCCGCGCTGACTTGGTGGCTTAGACTCACGCGTCATACTCAGCTGAGCTCCAAGCTGCCCGCTCCTCCAAGCAATATGCTCGCTGTTTGCGGCAACTGGTCAAGCTTCGGAACGCCATCGCCACTGCCACGCCATACACTACAGCTCTTGTCGCTCACGCAGTAGACTTCATCTACTGCCATGGCACGCTTTGTTATACGGAAGGTTACGAGGTACTGCGCCTCCTCGACTTGCACGCCTCGTCAGACTTGGAGGTCACTATCGATACTCGAAAGTTGCTCCAATCTGTTCCGGGGGCGAATCTCGCCAGCAGCAAATACAAGTTCCGTCCGATACACTTCGCCCACGGTGTTTTGTCTTGTCTTTACACCCCACGCAGTACCCCACGCAGTGCTGAGGGCCAAAATCGCCTTGTCGTTATCGACGTGGAGCAGAGGAAGCTTCTAACAGCCCATCGTCTCGAGTCAACCTCCAAGCTATTTGTGCGTAACAACCAAGAATATCTCTTCTATGGCACTCACTCGGTGACTGGGGATGACGGCTTCAAACGATGGATTCTACGGCGATTTGATACACGGACCAAGCAATGGATTCCTGGCCACTTGGATCTCGAAGACCTAGCTGGGTCAGATATCGGGTCTACCGTTTGTTTCGAGATTATTGACGAATTCTTTTATGGCTTATCTAGCCTGGCCAGTTTTGAAGTATACGAGAACGATTCCATGTCGTACTATTACGGGTTTCGAATACCAGTCGGCAGTACCCACCCTAGAGACATGCAGCTGGCATCGAAACATTCCATGTTGAGACGAGATCACAAAGACGGGCCGATAGATGATCGATGGAGTACTTTGCAGCTCGCAAAGGACTTGGTCACTGGAAATATCATGGTGTCAGAATGCCGAAGGGAATGGCTCGTCGACGAACCTTCTAGCGTGAGAACAGCCTACCGAACGGAGGTCGTATTTGCGGCCCATCCCGAGGATCCTGGCGACGGTTCGGACACCGAAGCTGACACCAACCAAACCGAACTTATTTCAACCCCGCGGTGCTCTCCTACTAAGCTAGTCCCTTTGAAGAAGCAAGAGGACACAACCCACGTTCACAGGGGTGATGACGGCTCAACATCGCCGACTATAACCCTGAGTCAATGTTTTATACGTTCATATAATCAGTCTTGCGAAACATTCATCGACTTGGTAAACGACCCTGTCGCTGCCGAATCCATGTCGCGAAGACCGCAAATACGTTCAATTTCTCGTTTCCCCCGAAGCGGAACCGGCCGGATTCCGAATGAGTCACCCGCTGACAGTTCTGCTCAGGTCCCCTACCAGACCCACGTGCCCAACGAGATCTCATGGTGGCTACCGGAAGTCGACGTGAGCCGACGGAATATGCACCTTGACGCATTGGATAGCATACTCTGCCCCAAAGGTCAGAGTACGTACAGTAATATCTCGGGGATCATGGACGAGCGCTCTATGGTATACGCCATGGGACAAAGGGGATCTCAGACCAGACGGCCTTTGGTCTTCATCAGTTTTGACCCTTCCATTAAGCTCGCTGGACTCACCCGGTGGCCTGGCGGCCCAAAACGACCGCTATGCAACCACACAACCACACAAGGCGACGATGCTGGACCTCAGGGGCCATATCCCACACCGCAGTCTCTGGTGTCTGCACCTGGTTCAAGAAACACTTCTTTCAGTGAGGGGTCCATTCCTGACCCGTCACAATCATCTGCCAGCATGCACACAGACTTCGACAAACCAGATGCGCCAACCTGGATAAGAAGAGCCTCGGCCGCCTATCTGCAGACCATCTGCGCTCTTGGACAACCAGTTGGTTTCAACTTCGCATTTTGCAAGGATGACTCGGCCCCATGCCGATGTTGCTGATGACAGCCTGTCGCTAGCTGCATTGTAGAGTGTCTTTCAAAAGCTCTAGACGTCTCACTAGATCTCATTTGGTGCCTTTATGACAGGGCGACCAAGACGACGATCCCGTGGCGAGATACAAACCAACGGGCTTTACTCATTTTTCAAGACGGGAAAAGGCATGGATCGGACGGCTTCGGCCGATGACAACTCCTCCTTCTGTCGCTAGTCACTGCAGGCAGCCAGCTCAACCTTCACAGTCGCGTCGGCCCGGACTCCTTGCTTTTGTTATTGGACAGGGGGATGTCGGTTGCCTTATTTTCTGCCAAAGTTCCTTGCTCACCCCCGCTTGGAGGGCAGAATTGGTTCGCACGATGGGGAAATTTGGCTGGCTCTAGCTCTAGAGTTGCCTATCCTACCCCAGTTTACGTACAAGAAGGGGTTCTCGCCATAAGCGAGCGAGCCAGACCCCCGTTCTAAAATCCATCTTCATTACTCCGTATCTTACAATTGTGTCATATTGACGAGCGATACACAGGTGACAAACCGACCCTTGGCGTGTATGATGAAAGTAAGAGCTGATCTCCGGTTGGACAATACTACCACGGGAGGAGCTGATATTCCCTCGAGTCTTACATGATGAATGCCTTCCCTCCCTCCACGAAAGCTTTTCCCTCGAGAAACTGACAGCTAGCCTGCCTGCCTGCCTGCCTCTCAGTCTTTGCTCACTGCTTGCCAATACAAAGCCGCAGTTGTCAATGGTCAGATTGAGAGCAGGTTTCGTCAATGACAGCCTGGTCGACTCGCCCCGGTTGTCCCACGTCGAACATGCACCTGGGCAAAGCAGGGCGCAAGGTGGTGGATAGAATCGAGCTGCATGCCCAAGCCGGCGTAATGACCAACTGACGACGCGATGGTACCTCGGAAAGTCAGGGGTTCGGGGCCTGGGAAGAGGAGGTCACGCACGCCGCCTACAGATACGGATACACAAGTACAATTCCACCAGACCTAAAGAATCTCCTGCCTGTTTCCGTATCTACCCCGTATTATCTTTGCACTATGCCAATTCCAATACAGCTCATCGAGAAATTACATGACAGAGAGCGCACCCCGGGCGGCTGGACTGCTTAAATTGAAACACAGCTGTTTGTTCTGGTACCAACCATGAAGCTATATGCAGGCTGGGTGAACATGTCAGTCAAAACTAAAGAAGGGGGGTAAGGAGAGAGCCTCATTCTCCCCTCTTAGTGCTTCCGATACGAGACACATAACAGCATACAAAACAGCAAAAAGTGAATCGACTAGCGGGATATCTCTCGTGGAATCACGCAATTCTTGCAGTACGCCGATGTTCGCAGGATCATGGAAGTTTTTGTGATTTGACAACACAACAATTCCAGAATCGTAAGAGCCGTAGTAGGTATGGATCAGAAGGTTCGGCATTGCTATGCCGTCGCCGACGCCGGTCTTTCTACACCGAAAACCTCAGAAAAAGTGAGGCGACGGACTCGTGTAACAGGGGCGCTCCCCAAAGTAAAAGCAAAGCGACTTCTCTCCTAAGCCTTCTTTCCCCCCCCTTCCCCCCTCCATCCAAATTTCCCTCTCTCCCTTGCCTTCCCTTCTCGCCCAAATGTTTTCCGACTCGAAATGATGGGCAGTCCCTTCTGCGTACGCCGAAGATCCCAAATGCAAGTATTTCGCGCCTCCCTTCTCGATGCCCTAACGGTTGTTCATTAACGTGCCTCTGCGGCACAGTGTATTTGGGTAAAAATCACAGGTGCCGATCTTAATTGGTGGGGTGTGAGTCTTTATTAGCCTCTCAATTCAACTTCACGTAGTTTCCTGCGCAAACAAAGTCAGCCTTTGTTCTAGTTTCATATGGGCCGGTGAAGAATTCTTACCTGGGAATTGCCCAGTCTTTCCGTTCAGTCTACCTTGCCACCATTCATTCTCATTCTTTGTCCTGCTGATGATCTCAATTACGTCGCCAGTCCTGAAGCTCAAGTCACCCTCTGCTTGCGCAGCGTAGTCATACAAGGCAGTGACATGCTCGGCCGCAGGCACTCCGCTGAGTCGGCTGGGCTTGGGCTTGGGCGGAGGGGGCTTTGATTTTGCTGCTGCGATGGCGGCGAGTCCACCACCAGCAGTTCCGTTTGTGGGCGGAGGAGAGTATGGAGGTGGCGGATTCGAGTCGGCGGTTTCTCCTTGTTTGGTGTAACCGCCGTACTTTGTGGGCGCTGCTGAGGTTGTTGCTACAGAGGCTGAAGAGGAAGAAGGTCCAGCGGTAAGCAGGTGTTGAGGCTTGCCCTCGATCGCGGGACGGCCACCGTATTTAACCGGGCGTCTCTGACCGGTTGTCTTGAATTTCACAATGGATAACTTTTCCGCCTGCTCTTGGATATCACCTCGCTTCTTGTGGAATGCTTCGAGCACGTCTAGTGTTAGATCGAAGTAGCCGATGTCGCAGTGTTGCATCTTCTCGTGCAGCGTGTAGAAGATGTTGAGCTGCATGTAGTAGAAAGACTGGAAGAGAGGCTGGATGAATTGTTGTTCGAGGGCGAAGAGGCGTGGCAGTTCCTCCTTGAGGAGATCGTTGAAGTAGTTGAACTCCTGGGTCGCCTGCTCCACGTCGTTCTCTGCCTTCCACAGAGCCTTTTCATCCTTGGCATTCCGGTCCTTCTTGTCTTGCAGCTTCTTGAGAGTTTGTCGGTGCCGGTCGTAATCGAGCTTCTTGTGTTCGCGCTTCGCTGCTGACTTGCGAATGACCTTGACGACATCGAGGAGTTCGTTGGCTGGGCGAATAACCCTACTTTCTATCATCTCCAACTCTGGCGCAAGAGTCTCCTGAAGATCCTTGACGACGGCCTCATACTCCTCGCAGGCACGGATGCCCTCGGGGTTGCCTTGAACCTCTAAACTGTCGGGATCCGACATGCGACCGGATATGGGTTTGTAGATCTCGGTCATGGCCTTGCTGAATTCGATCTGATGGCTGAGCATGCCGTTGATGGCGTCGAAGTATTTTTTGGATTCATCGTGCAATCGCTTCGTTTCGGTTTCCAGCTCCTGAAATCTGCGCTCGGAATCGATGTAAACGGCATCCTTTGTGTGCTCGCCAATGTTGAAGCGCGACTTGAATTGCTGGGGCGCCTGTTCGTCGTGGAAAAAGGAGATCAACAGTCAGCCAAATTTTGTGTTCCGTCTTCACGTCACAGCGCGAAAGGTACTGGAAGACCCCTCATTAAGTGGACACACGTACCCGGATGACGCTTTTCTGAAAGCCCCGGAAGCTCATGGCGGGGTGAATTTGTGATGGTGATATGTCGGATTAAAGATTTGAAAAGTCGTGCCAATGAAGGGCAGAGAAGGTGGTGTCGTGGGCTAAAGTTATGACGAGTGTCTTCGATGCTTGAGGGTATTCGATGTCCAGCCTTATGAGGTGTGGGCTCTCGCAACCTGATTGTCGCTGGTGACGACGTAGGCGTGGCTGTGTCAGTCAGCTTCTGCGCAATGTCGCTTGGCTGTGGCGCATAAGGTGCCGAAGGACAAGAGCTAAGGCGCTACTATGCAGAAGCTAAGGTACCTAAAGTAGGTCCCTGGCGGGGTCAGCGGCAAGAACGGAGCACGTTCAGGTGAATGGCAGGTGTTTTGCCGTGGTGACGCTACGGTTTGTGGGTGTGGAGGGATTTCAGAAAAGGATCAGGCGGAAAGAAGGAGATGGGCTTGAAGATATTCAGAGTATCGGTTTGGGAGATTGAACAACGCAAAAGGAGGAAAGGCAAGTGGATGGAACACAATTGCTCGGTCGCGGCGAAAGCGGTGGAAGAGTAGGGCGACTCCGAGAGCCCGTCTCTCCAAAGATCCTCGTCCCCAGTCCGCCGCGTTCAGCAATGGCCCAACTCACCTTGTTCAGGTCCTGGGAGGCCTGCCCGTTTACGTTCTGTTTAGCTAATCATCCTTGACTACCTTAAGCAAGCCCAGTAAAGTAAGGTACCTAAGGTGGCACCTTACCTAAGGTGAGGTACAGAGTATAGAATACCTTCCCTTTGCAACCTTCGGCTTCCCTGCCGCGCCCGCCTAGGCTTCGTGACCTTACGAGGCGCTGCCCAATCTTGAGCCTCTGCGTCTTCGGGGGCGTCGGACCTGACAGGTGCCGTAGCCGAAACCGCCTTCCAAAAAGGCCTGCAGCTGGATGGCAAACGTCATCATCTGGGAGGAGCCGCGAGATCTGGCCAATCACGGCCCGCGCCTTTATCCCCGACCCCGAGGCGGTCTCCGATGCAATTTGTCACAAAAAAATATCCCCATAGGTAGCAAGTGTATCCAAAGCTCCTCCTCCTTCTAGAAATTCTCTTTTGCTCCTTTCCCTTTCCCGAAGCCCGCGTCCCTTTCCTTCCCTACGCCATCAACAACAAACACATTATGGCTAGCATCACTTCTTCCGCCATCAGGCAGGCAGGTCGCCTCTGCCGCTACACGCAAGTGCCGGGCGTTCCTTCAAGAGGTATTTCCTCGTTATCGAGGGTGGCGGTTGCGCCAATCCACAGATTATCTCAGCAGCGCAGATACGTCTCGGAAACGAAACGTGACAATGCGCAGGTCAACATCGAAACAGCCATCAAGCTTGACAAGAAGGACTTCATTGACGTTGTCCCTCAGTCTCCCGATGCGCCAAACGTAATGGTTAGCCCCATGGCTGAAGTTTTGAAGCAAGTCACCACGATGGAGGAGGGCCAACGGCCCATCTATCTCGACATGCAAGCCACGACTCCCGTCGATCCCCGCGTCCTCGATGCCATGCTGCCTTTCATGACTGGCATCTACGGTAACCCGCACTCGCGAACACACGCATATGGATGGGAGAGTGAGGAAGCAGTTGAGACGGCTCGGTCGCACATCGCGAAGCTTATCGGTGCCGACCCCAAGGAAATTATTTTCACCAGCGGCGCCACCGAGAGCAACAACATGAGCATCAAGGGAGTCGCGAGGTTCTTTGGCAGATCTGGAAAGAAGAAGCATATTGTCACTTCACAGACGGAGCACAAGTGCGTTCTCGACAGCTGTCGACATCTCCAAGATGAGGGTTTCGAAGTCACATACCTCCCAGTCAAAAACTCTGGCTTGATCGACATGGATGAGCTAGCTGCGGCGATTCGTCCGGATACTGCCATTGTCAGTATCATGTCCGTGAACAACGAAATCGGAGTTATCCAACCGCTGGAGCAGATTGGAAAGCTTTGCCGGGAGAGGAAGACCTTCTTCCACACCGATGCTGCGCAGGCTGTCGGAAAGATTCCTATGGACGTCAACAAGATGAACATTGACTTGATGTCCATCTCCTCCCACAAGATTTACGGCCCCAAAGGCATCGGAGCTTGCTACGTTCGCCGCCGGCCTAGGGTCAGACTCGACCCTATCATCAGCGGAGGTGGGCAGGAGAGAGGATTGCGAAGCGGCACCCTCGCACCGCCACTGGTTGCTGGCTTTGGCGAAGCGTGCCGCATCGCCTACGAGGAAATGGAGGTATGTCAAAGATTTCGTTGTTTCCCCCTTTCCCTCAATCTACCCGTTTGATGATCCGCTCTACACATGCATGGCTTTCTGAATGTCCCGTGACAAGGACGTCCATGTTGATAAATAGCAACTTGTCTGACCCAGCCCAAACCTTTACTTTGCTTATGGTTTCCTGTGTTTGTATCCTGCCACTGACAAATGCATCAGTACGACTCGAAGCGTATCAAATTCTTGTCCGATCGCCTCCTCAACGGCCTTTTGTCGCTGGAACACACTACCCAGAACGGTGATCCTGAGCACTTCTACCCTGGATGCGTCAATGTTTCATTCGCTTACGTTGAGGGCGAGTCGCTGCTCATGGCTCTGAAGGACATCGCGCTGTCTTCCGGCAGTGCCTGCACCTCTGCATCCCTGGAACCCAGCTACGTCCTCCGTGCTTTGGGCAACAGCGATGAGAGCGCGCACAGTAGCATCCGATTCGGCATTGGTCGTTTCACCACCGAGCAGGAGATTGATTATGTGCTCAAGGCAGTCAAGGAGAGAGTCGACTTCTTGCGCGAGTTGAGCCCGCTCTGGGAGCTAGTTCAGGAGGGCGTTGACCTCAACACCATCCAATGGAGCCAGCATTAAGGGCATTGCCCTTGACGTGATGTGAACCGCGCATCTCACATCTGCACTCCTCAGCATTCGACACTTGCGAGTCCACCGAGGATCCTGCAAGAAAACACCCGAGTCGGTCCAACCCGGAGTAGCTTGTATTAAAACCCACATTTGAGATACCTTCACAGCCAGCCTTTCGTTTTTGCTCAGGGACATTGGAGTTGGGATCGGGGAATACGGAAAGTCAGGATTCTATCTGGAAAGATCAGGCGCCAGCTAGAGTCGGCAGGGCGGCGATCCACTGTTTTTGCAGAATCTGGCCTGTATACTAAGGTAGTGAGTGACCGCGTCAAAACGACTTCTCCCAGCGTGGATGTCAACAGAGAAACCTTTTACCACGAATGCCAGATCGTTCCATGAATACTAAAACGACGTGAAATTACCCGGGAAGCTTGGGTGATTACGAGCCCCCGCACTCGGAGATGCTACCTTTGCTAAAGTAGAAAGAGTCCGAACCTTGGTTCTGGCTTTTTGCATTTGACGGCAATTCTACTTTTTCATCATTCGAGTATCACCTAATTGGAAGTCCTCCGCTCCGGGCGGGAAGTACCTAGGCAGGCTTCGTTGGACCATGTCATTACGGCATGGCCGTGTCTGATTGTGTGCAAGCTTGGGATAGCTCTTGCCAAGGCTAGCGGAAGAGGTGCATCATCAACCATTCCTCAAAAGGTAATGTGTTGGAGGAGGAGGGTCCAGAATGGCCTTCATTACGTCTGTTGTGGGCTCACATGGCCTATACGAGACGTCTCATCTTTCCAGACGACAAGCGCGAAGGGGCGTTGGGGAAAGGGGCGACGATGGCGTGGTCGCTAGTGAAGAAGGCGTGAAGTCGCAAAATGACATCATGGAAGGCGCGAAGCTGCCCCTCCATCCCGCGTTGCTCTCCATGCTGCCCCCCCTTCTGTGCTCTTGCGCCCACAAGGGCCATCTCCAATATGACATCACACTTCTCAGCTCCACCTGGCAAATGCCATTGCGGTTGCCAGAACAATTGCGATTCACATGCTGCCTGCCTGAAGAAATAGAGAAGCCTGGACGCGGTTCTTTCATTGATAATAAATACCATACATCCTCCTCACTACCACCACTTGTCTTGATCATCAACAATCCCCATCATTCACCAAAGCATCATACACAACCTACAAACACTTGACGTCGTTGAATCAATCATACTCTCAAACCAATAAACACCAATCAACACACAACCTTCATTATGGCTGCCAACAACGACAACACTTCCACCCTCAAGTCGTACATCGACTCTGCCTCGGGCGCTGCCCAGAACCTCCTCGGTACCCTCACCGGCAGCACTGCCGACCAGAACAAGGGCGAGGATAAGCAGGATAAGGCACAACTTGAGCACGATGCCTCCCACGCTACTGCTAAAATTCCCGGCTTCACTGCTACCGCCCAAGGCGTGAGCAAGGACGATCCCGACCGCGCTGGCGGCTCATGGAATCAGACCGTTGGCTCTGCTAAGGAGACTGTCGGTGGTCTCATTGGCTCCGAGGTACGCTTTTCCACGAATCTCAAATTATGATAAGATCTTTGTCGTATGTTGTTCAGTAAGCTGACTGTTGAGCACAGAACTTGAAGCAGCAAGGTCGTGAACAAAATCTTGAGGGTCAGCAACAGGAGGCTAAGGGCCAGCTCAACGATTATACCTCTGGGATCGGCAACCGTGTCCAGGGCACCATCGGTGGTGCTGTCGCTGGTCTCACTGGCGACAAGGCCGGTCAGAAGCACTATGAGGGTCTGCACGACACTGGCAAGACTCAGCAGCGCGGTGCCGAGTATGACATTCAGAAGCAGGCGGAGGCCAGACAGCACTAAATGTCTTGACCATTGGCTCGGTCAGCGGCGTAGGCGACGGCTGACAGGATTGTGGACACAGATGGATTTTGATACCCCTTGCACGAGAATGCATATCTCCAAATAGTCCTGCAGGTGGATGATGAATTGAATCATCAACCTCACTCGATGTCGAGTCTACTGCGTGAAAGTGTTCAAGTTCCAAGTGTCGAGTTAACTGTCGAATAAGATAGTTCACAGCTGCCGGAATGCTGAAATGGTTTCGGCACGAATAACGCGCCTAATGCTCATATGATCCATGGATGCTTTTCGTGTCTGAGAGGGAAACGGCTCTGCGAAAACATCAGTCTACCAGTGTCAAAATGTATCGGACCAAACTTCACGAAGGTATGGAAACAAAGTGCTCTACTCTGGCAGCGTACTCTGGCAGCGTCAAGTGGTGAAGATTGATACAGCACCTTGCTATCAGTCATCATGCACCTACCGGTGATCCAAAGAGCTAAATTTCCCCGCTGACCTGAACTGCAGCACAAACGCAGTGCAATTGCAAGGGTTAAAAGTTAGTAAGCTATAAGCATGCAAGTATCCACTTACATCGCTGGTGCGTGGCTGCAGGTTACAGTGCTCGGATGGCATTTTATGGCGCTTCCACAGTATGTAAGGTACCTGACTGAAATCAAGGTAAGGTACTGGAGACAAGCGAGCAAGCACGTCTCAACACCGCAGCACGGATGGTGTCCTGCAGCTGCACACTTTTGATACTTCCTCGCTTCTCCACGGATACCTTAACCTACATGACGATTTCGGCTAGGCAAATCGCACCAGCACCAGCAGACATAGCGTTCCGTCCTCGTCTCATCTCATCTTGTCTCATCGCTGACCGCCAGAAATCTCCCCATCGACTACCCCTCAGCCGTTGCCCACCGCCGTCCGCCATGCTGAATTCCAGGTTATAGGTTCTAGCCCTTCCCGTCGCGTCTCCTACTGCCAGAGGTAACAATCCGCCCGAGGTCCCCCCCCTTTAAGTCAAAGTCGGTGGACTCTGCGGCCTGCCCACGATATGCAGCATAGTGGATAAAGTAGAGACAAATCCACCAAACGAAGCCCCGAAGATGAGGGCGGCGATGAAGGGTGCTACTGTTGGTCACAAGCTCAGCCCTCGGTGATAGGTACCTAGGCCCCTCTCTCCCTTTCTCGATTTACTACTGTGTAAGGTAGAAGAAGGACGCCGGCCCCATCGGATCGGTTCTCAAGCCACGTTCGGGCCACAGTGAAGCCATACTGGAAACAGAAGTTCGCCCTCGCCTGTCCAGTGACAGGTGACACTCCCATATGCAGCTGCAGGGGAGACGACCAACCATGGAAGCGTCGCATCCCACGGTCGACAAGCGGGACCCTTCTGGAGCGACGTCGGTGTCATTAATTGGTTCATACCGCCCAGTGGCTGCACCTCACGAACAGAAAGATGCAAGGGAGGCTGCATCCAAGAGGGGCAGGAAGAAGAAGCATGGAAGAGGAGGCATTATTTGATTGCGCTGCATCTGCAACACACGACTTACAGACCCTAACGTCGTACTGGCGCGCACAGCACTGCGGAACGACACTCCTTCTGCCGCCGTCACCGGGCAGCCTGCCAGTACCGCCTCGAAGCCCTCCTTGCCCTCATTGCCCTTCCTCCTCTACGATTTCGTGTGCGCACTTCCGTCGTCATCAATGTTGCCTCATCCTCGTGCACATTTGGCCTGTACCATCTCGCTGCTTCGACCACTACCTTTGTCCGTCGCGGATCACTTCTCTTAGTTGGCCTACGGATACTTGTTGACCAACAACCCTTCCGTCGCATCATGGTGCGATAGCCGCTTGCCAGTTGATAGGCCACTTACACTCTTCTCTTGCGTGCTTCTCTTTCCGCCATGGCCGAGACGGAGGCGCGCCAGTGGACATTCGTCCTGATCCTGACCGCACTCCTCCTTTCCCTCGTCGTCCTCTCCCAGATACTTACAACATATATCACTGCCTATCGTGTCGCTCCCAACGAGATCGCATCTTTTATCGATGCCGTCGACTTCTCGGTCGAGGAGAACGAGAGCTACGACCGCGACATTGCCAAGGTCCAGCGCCTTGAAGATAAGCTCCGTCTAGGTCGCCTCTTGCGCGAGATCCAGAAGGGCGGCGACGACCTACGTGAGGATATCAACTTGTTGCTTCTCTCCGAAGACACCACTTCTCTGCGCCTGAGCGCCCGCCTTCTCTGGGCGAGCAAGCGCCGCGGTCTTGAGGAGCGCGTGCGCCGGCTGGATCTTGTGAGGATGCGCTTCCTCGTAGTATACATGGGTGTGGTTGCGGACCGGGCGAACGTCACAGGAGAACGTCAAGTGCCCGTGTCAACACCGATAACACCGCAGAAGGACCCTGAAAAAACGCCTGTTTCTCCTTTCACGCCCCCGATGGCCAACATGAACGCCCACTTAACGCGCGCCCTGACGGAGGAGATTCGAGAGCGGCCGCCGCTGAGGAGGCTAACCACCCAAGCCATCGGTCATCACGAGAACACGCAACCTGGGCACAAACTGGGGTGGGCTGGCGTGGTTCAGGAGCTACAGAAGAGTCCCCGGATGCACAAGCGACGCTCCTCCATCGAGAGATCCATCGAACAAGAGTTGGCTAATTCCAAGCTGACGATATGATTGAACGATGGATTCAGGAGTGTTGCTTGCGGTAGACGTGGGAAAATGTCGGGACATTAGACGGCAACAGCAGACACGCAAACTACGACAAAAAATGACATAACGGCTTATCGCTACAGGTTACATGGCACTAACGACGTACGAACACTTGCATATGCATTTGGAACAGACGACACATCATCCGGTGGCACTCAGCTTGAGGCCCCAGAAAAGCATAATATTTTTCAGGGGGGAAGTTCACTGGCAGACGGTCTGCCAACATTCCCATGCCCGTGCTCTCCGCGGCGGGCACGAGTTTATACGAAGAACATGAAGGGGTTACAGGCGCAAGGGAACACGGATGCTCACGAGGAGCGCCGAGAGGAAGGTAGTTTGTACTGTTTTAAACCGTTTTCTCGGGAGGATATACATATCGCTTCCCTTAGATGAGATACCCATTTTCCACAGCATCATTAGCTCCATGGCACACTTACACCACACTTATCCAGTTAGTCTTCTCCTAACCAGTTTCAACTTCAAAATAGGGCCTTTGACTTTAAACATACGTCGGCTGTTATCATCCTTCTTTATCGCCCGTCTAAGGGCTTAGTGAGAAGCCAGAGCCACGTCATCAGGCCCAGTGCTGTTCCTCTCACCAACTGCTTCATTATCAGAACCAGCCAAATTTGGGAATTCGGGAACTTCATCTTACCATCCAGAGCAACCAAGAATCGGCTCACACAGTTATAGCAAGCAACCTAGATTCATCGTCAGTCTCTCAACCCCTCAGCTTCATCAAGTCCGCGCTCTCATCCTCCTTCACGAAAGCACTTACCGTCGTCGTAATTTCCACCACCTCCCTCTCGTTAAAGAGCTCCTTGAGCTTGGCAAAAGTCTCGTCCTTGACCCTGACGTTCCTCGTCATCTCGTCCGAGTACACCAGCACGGCCCACTGCTTCTCGCTCAGATACAGCGCAGGCCTGGCGGCCAGCTCCAGCGGTGTCTCGACCTTGATGGCGTCTATGCCCTCGGGGGAGACGCCGGCGGCGACGGCGAGGGGCGCGTGGTGGCCCCACTCGTACCAGGCCCTGTTGACGACTGCGACGCGGGAGATTGCGAGCTCGCGGAGGTCGGCGGGGATGGTGGTCTGTGTGCGGACGGCGCCGAGGAAGGAGTTCCAGCCGTCGGCGACCGGGGGCGCGTGGAGGAGGGTTAGGTCTAGGGCCTGGAGGGGTCGGGGGTTCCGGCGGGCTTGGATACGGGAGACGATGGCGGCGTCTTCGGGGGTGGTGGTTTGGGGAGGGTTGGGGACGTAGGGGAGACGCATTTTGGACGGGGTTTGAGGAGAGGAGAAGGGAGAGTGGTTTAGGATTCTCGGTGGTGTTACTTTGGGGGCTACGAGTGGTATCTTTCTGCGTTTGAAAAGGTTCAAGAACCTTGAGAATGAGCTCATGTATGTGCTGCAGTGGTTCTGTTTCGTGAAGTGACGGCCTCAAGTGAGAGGAGTTAGGTTTCCGACAGGCCTTCTTTTATTGCGTCCCGAGGGGTTACGCGGGGCTTGGGGACCCCGGTTGCGTGTAAGTCCCGTCTCCACCTCCCGAAAATCGGGCGGGCCGAGCGAGCGTTCTTCCCCCTCCCCCTCAGTTTTCTGGGCCTCCGGTTGAATACTGTCCCGGCGGGCCACGATACCGGTGTCGCTGGACATGAACGTTTCCCAAGAACGTCGGAATTGTCGGGTACGGTCTTAGGGTGTCGGTAGCGGGTGGAAATCCTTTTTTCGGCGAGAGCGTCTCATCTACCTACCCGGGGGTTGTGGATGACTTGCATGAGGAAATATGGAGTTGGATTTCAGAGAGGCATAGCTGAGCATATGCTGCTAGCACAGGTCAGGTCATCATGTCCGAATTTGCTGTTCTAAAGAATCGAACATTAATGCGACGATGGAATGGACTGATCTTCTCAAAAACGGTCAACTAAGGTACGTTATGTGCTTGACCGAGATGCATCCAATGTTCCTAAAGGCTTGCTAGTGGACCGTCTCTCTTCTGTGGCTGTGGCTGCTTCCTTGCTAACATTGGGCATACATTCAAATAGGTGCCAAGGAAGTCAAGTCAGTCTGGTAGACAAGAGCTCTCAACGTGTACGCTTAAGCATTGATGTTAAGGTGCCTGGGTATTTCAGATCTCTTCCAGAATGTAGGACTACCGGACCATTGGCGCCTGCCTGCCTACCTTAGGTATTGCGCCGGAGGGGCCTTCTTCTTGATGACTGAATTCCCATTGATGTTGCCTCAAGAAAATATTCGAAGCAATAACGCCAAATCAGTAAGGGGCTTCGCAAAAAACCCGCCTGAAAGCTTTGACCTTAGGCTAAGGTACCTACCCGAAAGTCGCAATGACCTTTCCTTACCTTAGGTGCCTTGCTGCCGAAGCTCCAACTGCTTCAGCGCATTTTGCGCTACCTTAGCTGGCCACCTAGACACTGGTGACTGAACAGACAATTTACATTTCCCCCGCCAGGTTCTGCACCGGTTGCTCCACTACCTAGGTAGGTAGCAATCGCGCCGCGACCCCAGCAACATCCAGCCTACCTACTGACGTGACTGCCTAGGTAGGAACTAGAACCTTAGGAGGTAAGAAAGTAGAGCGCGAGGCAGGTCACGTGAACAGCTCATACCTCTACCAATTTACGCGGTGGATTTTTCGGGATCTCGCGTCGCCAGCAGCAACCTGGAATCTTTCGTTCTTCAACCCCTTCTCTGCCACTGAATCCGTCACTCACCGCGCAGCGACGATGGCGGAGATCAAGATCGACAACAAGGCCTTCCATGAGCGCGTTTCGCGTTTCGCGAGCGCCTGGAAGAATGACTTGCGATCTAAGGATGGCAATATCTTCCACGGCGCCTCATCCATCGTCGTGATGATGGGCAAGGTGGAGGAGGTCCCCGAGCTGCACAAGAACAACGCCATGCATGTTAGTCGCCTCCCTTCCGATCCGCGACAACGCGACCATCTCCATTGCGTTTACCATCATAATCATCATCATCATGCATAGAATGAAAGCTAACGTTATTGGGAAATTAGTTTTGGCTCCTCGGCTACGAATTCCCGACGACGATGATGCTGCTCACCACCGAGAAGATCTACATCCTGACGACTGCGAAGAAAGGTGAGGAACTTTCACCATGACTGCGCCACACACGCAGCGAGCGTCAGCTAACTCAATCTCAGCGAAACACTTGGAACAGTTGAAGAACGGCCGATTCCCTCTAGAGGTCCTTGTCCGAGGCAAGGACGCAGCTGAGAATGAGAAGCTTTTTGTCAAGCTCGCTGAAGTCATCAAGTCTTCGGGCGTAAGTCATTGCTCCGTGCGATCAACGACGACCGTCGCTGACCCAACCGCTTCGCAGAACAAGGTTGGCACCATTGCCAAGGACACCTCCAAGGGTCCCTTCATCGAAGAGTGGAAGAAGGTTTTCGCCGACCAATGCAAGGACATCGAAGAGGTCGACGTTTCACAAGCCCTTTCCCAGCATGCCTTCTCCGTGAAGGACGAAACCGAGCTCCGAGCCATGCGAACCGCTTCCAAGGCCTGTGTCGCCTTGATGACCCCATTTTTCCTCGAAGAAATGTCGGACATTCTTGATAAGGAGAAGAAGGTCAAGCACAGCGCGCTGGCAGATAAGGTCGATAAAAAGCTCGATGATACCAAATTCTGGAAGACGGTAGAGCTTCCGAACAAGACCAAACTTCCCGCAGACTTGGACCCCGCACAGCTGGACTGGGTACTGGGACCTCTCGTGCAGAGTGGTGGCAAGTACGACTTGAAGATGAACTCGGAGAGCAACGACGACATTCTGCACCCCGGCACTATTGTTGCTGCTATGGGCTTGCGCTACAAATCGTACTGCTCGGCTATCGCTCGTACGTACCTTGTGGACCCGAACAAATCGCAAGAGAGCAACTACAAGCTCCTCTTCAACATTCACAACATGATCCTCAAAGAGGTTCGCGATGGCGTCGTTATCAAGGAGGTCTACAACAAGGCTTTGAGCATGATCAAGGCCAAGAAACCTGATTTGGAGAAACACTTCTTGAAAAACGTTGGCTGGGGTGTCGGTTTGGAGAATAGAGACCCGACTTTGATTCTCAACGCCAAGAATTCCCGAGCCCTGAAGGATGGCATGACGCTCGTCATCACGACCGGCTTCAGCGATATTGAGAACCCTCAACCCCAGGACAAGAGTAGCAAGATCTACTCTTTGGTCATCACCGACACGATTCGTGTGACCTCAAGCGAGGCAGTCGTTTTCACCGGAGAGACTCCCATTGACGCGGATTCAAATTCCTTCTTCTTCAAAGACGAGGAGGAGGCCCAGCCCACACCCAAGAAGGAGAAGAAGGACTCCCGAGTCGGTGCTGTTGCTACTAAAAACATCACTTCTACGAGGTTGAGATCTGAGCGGACAACCACAGTCGACGACGATGCGGACAAGAGACGCCGGGAACATCAGAAGGACTTGGCGTCAAAGAAGCAGAAAGAGGGTTTGGCGCGCTTCTCCGAATCCACTAGTGGACAGAACGGTAAAGAGGTCAAGAAGTTCAAACGCTTTGACTCATACAAGCGCGACAATCAGTTTCCTCCCAAGGTCCGCGAACTTCAGATTGTGGTCGATGCGAGAAACGACACAGTGGTTCTACCCGTCATGGGTCGCCCTGTACCATTCCACATCAACACGATCAAGAATGCTAGCAAGAGTGACGAGGGTGACTGGTCGTTCCTCAGAATCAACCTTCTCTCGCCAGGTCAGGGTGTCGGTCGCAAAGATGACCAGCCTTTCGAGGATGCATCAGCTCATTTCGTCAGAAGTCTGACGTTCCGGTCGACGGATGGCGACCGCTACCAAGAAATTGCCACTCAGATTTCCAACATGAAGCGGGATGTGAACAAGAAGGAGCAGGAGAAGAAGGAGCTGGAGGACGTTGTCGAGCAGGACAAGCTCGTCGAAATAAGAAGTAAGCCACCCTCTTCCCTGATAGTCTTGATGTGCCTACTAATGAATCACAACAGATCGCCGTCCTGCTGTGCTCGACAATGTCTTCATTCGCCCTGCCATGGAAGGAAAGCGAGTCCCTGGTAAGGTGGAAATCCACCAGAATGGTATCCGATACCAGTCACCGCTTAGCACGCAGCAACGTGTCGACATTCTGTTCTCAAACGTCCGCCACCTATTCTTCCAACCTTGCCAGCACGAGTTGATCGTCATCATCCACATTCACTTGAAAGACCCCATCATGGTTGCCAACAAGAAAAAGACAAAGGATGTACAGTTCTATCGCGAGGCGACTGATATCCAGTTCGATGAGACGGGCAATCGCAAGAGAAAATACCGCTACGGCGATGAGGACGAGTTTGAGCAGGAGCAAGAGGAGCGCCGTCGCCGTGCCGAGCTTGACCGTCTGTTCCAAGGCTTCGCACAAAAGATCGCCGAGGCCGGCAAGAACGAAAACATTGAGGTAGATGTTCCCATCAGAGACCTCGGCTTCCATGGTGTGCCGTTCCGAAGCAATGTCTTCATCCAGCCCACCACAGAGTGCCTGATCCAGGTCGTTGAACCACCTTTCATGGTCATCACATTGGATGACATAGAAGTGGCTCATCTGGAACGAGTACAGTTCGGTCTGAAGAACTTTGATCTTGTGTTCGTCTTCAAAGATTTTACAAGAGCACCGTACCACGTCAACACCATTCCAGTCGAGTTCCTCGATCATGTCAAGGAATTTTTGGACTCTTCAGACATTGCATACTCGGAGGGTCCTCTCAACCTGAACTGGCCAACGATCATGAAGACGGTCACTGCCGATACCCATCAATTCTTCATCGATGGTGGTTGGTCCTTCCTTCAGGCGGAGTCCGACGACGAGGGAGAGGAGTCTGAGCCCGAGAGTAATTTTGAGATCGAGTCTGACGAGCTTGATGAGGCCTCCGAATCCAGTGAGGAAGACTCCGACTTTGGCTCAAATGTCTCCGACGAGGAAGACGACGCTGAGATGAGCGATGAGGACGAGGGCGAGGACTGGGACGAACTTGAGGCAAAGGCCAAGAAGCGCGATCGAGAGGATGCCCGAGGCGGTGACGACGACGACCGGGGCCGCAAGAAGAGGAAGCACTGAGCATTTGACTCCATTATGAGCACCTTTTGACGAAAGATGGCGGACCGCAGATGCACACGGAAGCGTTTTCCATAAGTGCATTGTTTTTGGTATCAACTGTATTATCAAATTTGTTGTGTAGGCGTCTAGGGGTGAGAGAGTATGGGGAGGTCCTGGGTGAATGCGGGCCGCCTCTTGCGGCCTTCAGAGCGACGGAACAGATAGCTTTCTTATTAATCGATGACAATTCCAGAACGGACATGATGGATCCTCCCCCCAAACTCATCAGCGTGGAAGCCGAAAAGGGCATGCAAGCGCTTTATTTAGCGTCCCTTGCTTAATACGACGTATAATGCGAGATGTTTTTCTTACGGGACTGATTCAATCATGCCTTGTAAGCTAATTTGTTGGTCTACCTGACCTTGAACCCTCAAACTCCAGATTCCCTCGGTAAGCTAAGGACGATCGGTTGTTGGTTTCTAGTGGTTGCCCACCCGGCCCTCATTCCTAAAAGCACATGCAAGGTAAAAAAAACAACAAGGAAAGTCATTAAAGAAGAAGCAGAACAAACAATGCACGTCGTTGACCAGCCGGTGGAAAAATACCAAAACACAAATGTCCCCCTTTCCTTGAACCTCTCCTAGGCAGCGGGAGACGCTGTGAAGGGCGGGTTGTTCCTTATTTAGTCGAGGTCCCCGTTACTCATACAATCTCATGTCATTCCATACAAAAACGCTGTGGTACTAGCCCTCCGGCGTGATGATGCTGCACCCGCTTGCCCCGACCTCAGAGATGCGACAATGGGGAAATGATGCGTTGATCCCCGGCTGACGACGCAGTGATACTGTACGCCAGTCCTGTCGATGCCACAGAGGGCTCAGTGGAGCCAGATGCTGCACGTGGACGTGGAGGGCGCAGCAACTCATCGCAGGCCTTCTAAGCTTCGCCGGGTCGTACTTCGCGACCTGAGGCCATTGCTGAGCTAGGGCCGGCACCCGGCTTGGAGCCGGGTGCGTTGTTCCAGGAGAGGTAAGTGTGGTCACCGAGCTTTCTGCGCGAAGCATTAGTATTTGGTTTTTGCAGAATATTCAGGGGCGTAGGGTGCTTTACTCACCTCGGTTTGATAAGATGAGTGACAGTGAAGATCACACCCAGGAGGATGCACATGCCACCGACTACTATGTAAGCGATACCCAGGAATGGGTTTCTGCCACCCATGATCGTGCGTGTGGTGATGACGATGGACTTGCTTCCCTTGTACTCAGTGGTCGGGAAGTCTACGTCTGAATTAGCACTAATCATCAAGTCGCATTGCTTGATTAGCACTTACTATCAGTGATGTTGACCTCGTAGGTGCCGGCCTTCATGGTCTCGTCGTCGTTGCGCTGGTAGAGTTTGCTGAAAGTCGGCAATCCAGCGGTCCTCATCCAAACCTGAAAGGCCTGCCACTCGGCGATGTTGGGTGGTGGGTGCTCAGTGGTGTAATTAGGGTACCGGACCCTCCAGTTTGGCGGCGGCATGATATCAGCTGGGTCATACTTGGTTTCCCCGTAGAGTTCAGCATCGGACGCCCAGGCGATACCCGAGTTATTCTTCATCGGGTAAATCGAGTCCTCTTGGAGCATGCGGGGCGAAGTGAACGTATCGTTGAACATGGAGTTCGCAATCAGACCTGCTGCCGTATGAATACGTGGTTTCACGAGCCAGCGGGTTGCGGAAAGACTCACCACAGGGATAGTAAGGCTTCTTGGCATGCGAATCCCACTCAAGGGGTTCACAGGAAGAGCTGTTGACGTTGCCTGAGGACTCGGCATTTCCTTTAAGCTGCTTGTCGTAGAAGGAAGCGACATAGCGTCTGTGATTCTGGTAGAAGTTTGTGAGGTGGTAGTAGAACAGTACAGGCGGCCCCATATCCTCCGGGATTCTGAACTGGATTCTGCATTGCTTCGCTGAGTATGTTATCGGTCCGTCGGTGACATCGATGTCTGTCACAGCCCACTCGGCGTTCTTCGTCTGGTCGTCGCTCTTAAATGCAGTGCTGATGTACTTCGAGTCCATTTCACCAAGAGTGGAGGTCGCTTCCGTAAGGCAGTGCGTGTAGTCGATGCGGATTTCCTTGACCTTTGAAGCGCGCGTTTTAGTAATGGCCCTTGGAGTGTAGTAAGGCTATTTATACCTTCGCGCTTGCGTAGAGCAAGAGCCCGCCGATAGGGGCAAATATGATTCCAATCGTAAAGAACAGAGGCAGGACCGTCTTGGGCGTCAAGATTGGTCTGTAGCAGTCAGCCACCGAGATCCCCTGCGACGGATCGTCCAAAGAGCCATTGACAAACTTACTGCCATGCCTTCAAACGTTGTTGTCTGAATGCCGTATCTATTCAGAAACTTGTATCAGTATCGCTATCTTCGTTTCCAGTATTTTCCAGCACTTCCGCGATCGCCGAAGGGAGGTTGGCTTCGTTCCGGGGCTTCCACATACTCGCTGGTCGGCGGCTCTTCTTCTTGTCATCCTTTTTTCCTGTGTCGAGTTGCGATTCAATGGAGTCAGCATGGTTGACACCAGGCGATGGATCGGGCATATTGGGTAATCGTGCACTGAGAAGGTGCGCGCGCGATTGATGTTGGTGATGTTGGCAATCGGTTGCAGTCGTGGAAGTCCAAGTGAGGATGGATGCGCTTGACCGGACAGACAGGAGAGTCAGAAGTCAGCGAGAGTGTGGCTTGGCGTTCAATGCATGTATTGGGTCTAGCGTCGTGGCTGAGCAGCCCGCTTCCTCGTCAACACGGAGCACGGGCAGACGCTGTTCAGTTAGCACCTGGGGCCCTACAGTGCGGTCCACTGACACAAGCTGCACACTGAAAGTGCCTAGGTCAGTCAGTCAGGAAGTCCCAGAGAACGATGATTACTAAAGATATTCTGATCAGGAAAAAGATGATATGTTGCCATAGAGCAAAAAAGACACAATGCATGTACCTGCTGAGTACTTGCACAGTCCCGAGTTGTTTGTTTCTAGGGATGTTTGGACTGCAAGACCCACAGCTCCACCACAGTGCTTTTTGGCGATATTCAGTAGTCGGGTGTTCAGTCGAGTGAGTCTAAGGCCGGGTCGGTACCTCCAAAAGAAAGACGGAACGAGGGATGCAGGCATGAACAAGGATCGACTTCCTGTTTGGTAAGTAGGGAAGACAAACAAGACGCCGTACTACATACGGGTACGAAAGGAAGAGCGATGGACATCGGCAGCCCGGAGTGGAAAAAAGTTAGTTTCCGAAACCGAGAATCGAACTCGGGGCTATGCCTAACCTCTCAACGTGAGTGAGAGGGCATCATGTTGGCCACTACACCATATCGGATGCACAAAATCTTGGAGAAAAATAGTTTACTATAGATTCTGAGGCGGGCCAGATTTCTACCATCTTCCTCAAATTGCTTCTTCTCGAGCTGCATTCACCCATTTGAATTGTTAAAGAATTACAACTGCTTTTTTCTTCTTCTTTTTCTTTTTATGATTCCAATCCAAAACCTTTCAAAGGGCCATTCAGACGTGTGTTTTGCTCTCCTCATTTTCCACTTCGTGATACCGAATGAAATGAGGCATTCACTAGCTCTTGCACGATGGTTTCTCAATCTTCCGATCTTCTCAGTCTTCTGAAAACATATATCATGACCGTGGCTAAATACTTCATGACAGACGAAATGTAAGTTTCTTAACTGTTCTGTACAAAGGGGCGGCTGGTGAAGTAGGCAGGTGTTGTGAAATGCTTGGTTCATTGGAAGAGCCTTGACATTATTCAAGACATTTTCCATCCGCATATTCGAAGGGGAGCCTCACTGGCCATAAGTTCCTTTGGCCAAAGGGGAAACACTTTGCAGGTACATTAGGCTATACAGCAAGACACGAAGACATTATAGTGACTGTTGAATGCACCTCGAAAGATGCTTGGATTGAGTTTGACAACTTTTTCTTAGAAGATTGCATCTTAGTCCAGATGTATAGGCCTATTTTATACGTGACAGAACCGGAGCTTGAAACGATCCATTCGCAAGCGAACATGGTTCGCAACGAAGCATTCGGCTGCACGATAGACTTGGTTGTCTGAGATGAACTCGACAAGGCGGCCAAGTGAAAGCGGCCGGCCGAGGTGTCGTTTAGGAAGTGCATCCTGAGACCATGCAGCTCCCACAGCTTTAGCTGGGAAAGGGACCGACTCCTCTTGGCCGCATCCCTAATAGGCTTGTACCGGCTTTGATCAGCGGGCTATCGAATGAACGAGCCACTGGCAGGAGAGGTTTGGTGAGGGGCAATTGCGGGCGGACGGGTCAGTCCCACTGAAAGCGCCCTGAAATTCCACGGTAGGCCGTCCCCATGATGACATGGCCGAAACCAGGGGATCCAAGGTGCCTCAGTCCGAGAGTACGTACCTCTACTTGTCGTCTGAGGCAAGGAGGCAAGGAGGCAATGGAATGAAAGCAGGCAAGGTGTTCCGGGATGACTGGGTTAAGCAGGTTGAGCCAGTCAGAAGCGTTGCTGAGAGCTGCACAGAATCGCAACCGAAGCGGCTTGGAAGGTGAAGCCCGGACACTTCGGGCTGCAGGGAAGGGAAGCAGCAGCCGGCCACAAACTGATCTGTGCGCCTTCTAGAACTCTTCGACGGTCATGACTGGTCAGCCGGGGCAGCAGGGCCCCTCAAAAGCTAGGACCTCACCGTCACCTTGTGGAAGGAGGGGAGCACCTGCTTCTTTGCTGCTGCTGTTTGACTGGAAGCAGCGATGCGTCAAAGGCCCTCCGTGCCTCCTGCTTCTCAACCCCCCCACCTTCTCAACCCCCCCATCCCAGAGCAATCCACGTTCCTAAACCGAACCCAAAAAGCTTCCCTTCCCTTGGCCTTTTCCACTTCTGCTATTCTTCATTTCGTGCTCTCATCTCGTCGCCTCCTCCCGCTTCCCTCGAACTGAACAAACAAGCGAACGCAATCCCCGTGGCCTAATCTCGAACCCGGACGACAGCACGAGAGCAGGAAAAGTAATCGGTCACTTGCTTCACCCCTCGTCTGTCCTTTTTCTAAGCTAGCTGCATTCACAACCTCGACCTCGCAATAGGTACTACACCGCACGAAGTTAGCCTATCCTTTCTCTCTCCTCCTCCTCTTCCACTTGTTGCTCCCCTGTTTCTTCATCCGCGTCTTGGCTATCAACAAATATTCTCCCCGGCCCTGCCAGTCCTTTGCTCCAGTGTCTGGTTGACAGCAACCTCTTACCTGAATATTGGGCGGCCAATATCACGAATGCTAGCCAGCTCCCTGTCCAGATCATCATTGCCCACTAGCTAGCTCCTTCCTCTGTGGTAAGTGATAGCTCAATTCACTGCCACGCGCAGACCCAACCCAATTGTCACGGCTGAGCCCCTCAAACACTGTCTTTCCATTGCTTGTCATCTCGCTTCGGCAGCTTCTGCTTTTCGCAGCCTTGTTATCGTCTTTACTAGACTCCTGATCTTCAACTTGAGCGTTCCACGACACCCATCTCGTCCCGTCTCCCTTCTTGGTGTTGTTCCCTTGGCGTCATATTTCGGACGCCTTGCCACTTTCCTGCGTCAGAGCCCCTTCCAACACCAGTGGTGTCTTTCAGATACGATCTGCATCGTTCCATCTCCTTACCTCTCCATGGCGTAGTCGCTAAAGAGAGGTGATCAGCTTGATTGGCACAGCCTAAACGCGGGGACGAAGCATTAGGTGCTCCCAAGCTTGCACCCTACTCAACAACCCCGCCAATTTCACAACATTCTTTGGTTCACCATCATCGCCCTGATGACCTCAGCGAACCTGGCAACCCTCCAGCATTCCTTACGATACAGTCTGGACATCGTGGGCCGAAGCTGACCTGAGCACAAATAGTTCGCAAACAACTCTCAGCCACACCACTTGTTGTCAACGTTCTTGAACGCTGCGACGATCGTATACCTACTTCCAAGAGATCCCTCGTGACGATTAATATCCTCGAAACGACAACATCTGTCCTCGTACAAGTAGCTGTACCGAAACTATGTCCGGCATGTTCAAGAGTCCTTTTGGGGCAAACGCCAATCCTTTCGGAGGACCTACCGATCGACCTACGGCAGGAGGCAATGCCATCCACCGTGTAATCGAAGAGGAGGAGAACGATACTGTTACTTCTCCAACATCACCAAACTTCGGTATGAATTCCGGTACGACTTTCAGCGGCCCGTTCGGCGGCGATGCTGCGGACGACGCTCCGCCTTCGGCGCTGAGAAGTCCACCGAACCCCGAGAGCTATCCTGCCCAGTACAATTTCGGCCGCCGAACCTCGGTTTCTGCCGAGTCCCTCAAGCCTAGCGCCGACACATATGATAATTGGTCGCCCCCTCATCATGAGAAGACCAAAGAGCAGTTGGGCCGTTTGCAAACTGCCATTGAGGGCAATTTCTTGTTCTCCCACCTGGATGAGGAGCAGAGCGGCCAGATCCTTGGTGCGCTGAACGAAAAGCCCATTCCGGCAAAGGATATCAAGGTAAGCTGTGTTGGCAAGTTCATATTCGAGAGCTTTCTAACAAACCACGGCAGGTTATCAGCCAAGGTGATGCGGGTGACTTCTTCTACGTAGTAGAGAAGGGCTCTTTCGATGTATACGTCAATAGCAGTGGTGCCTTGCAGCCTGGTCCCGAAGGCATGGGTCAGAAAGTCGGAACCATCCAGGCTGGGGGCTCATTTGGTGAGCTGGCTTTGATGTACAATGCTCCCCGAGCTGCGACTGTCATTTCTGCCGAGTATGGGTGTACCCTCTGGGCGCTCGATCGCCTCACGTTCCGCCGCATTCTCATGGAGTCGACATTCGCTCGGCGACGAATGTATGAGAGTTTCCTTGAGGAGGTGCCCTTGTTGCAAAGTCTCACACCATACGAGCGATCGAAGATTGCCGACGCATTGGAAACCCAAAAATACACTCCTGGGGAAATCATTATCAAGGAGGGGGATCCTGGCCACGCATTCTTCCTCCTGGAGAGTGGCGAGGCCGACGCCTACAAGGGCGACGTTAAGGAATCTGTCAAGCACTACAGCAAGGGAGATTTCTTTGGCGAGCTCGCACTTTTGAATGATGCCCCTCGCGCCGCTAGCATTGCCGCGACGACGGATGTCAAGGTTGCGAGCCTCGGCAAGAACGCGTTCCAGAGACTTCTTGGTCCCGTTGAAGGCATCATGAGACGAACGAAGTACGAAGGCGTCAAGACTGGTGTTGAGGAGATGGACCCGCTTCAAGCGGCTTGAGAGGAATATTGTGATGTTTGATTTTGCGTATGATCCAATTGGATGGCAGACTTCGGGAAGGTTGATGAGTGTGAATGTCAAGGTTCACAACGGCGTTGGGCGGAACCCCCTACCTTCACTTCCTAAGAGACACGGCTAGTGACGTCCAGATACCTGTTACTCAAGATTATATTTCTTCAATGGCGCATGCAGTTTTGGTGTTTTCGAAAACAAGCATTCCCAGTGGTTGCATTATTTGGGTTTTCAGATTGCACAGCTGAAGTATCAAGCGGGATCCGTCATGGGCTGCTCTGGCACCCATCAGGGCACGTGGTGCGAATCAACTCAGCCGCCCCGTATCCTCATCTCTTCCACTACCTCTCTTCTCAGCTGCTCAACTGCAATCTCAGTCTCTAGTGTCCTTCCAACACCCTTCTTCCAGTTCTCCTCCAAGCCCTTCATCTCTGCCGCTACTGCTTCTTGTTGACGTCTCCGGGCAACAGTCAAAACGTCAATGAGGCGCTTTGTTTCGGCGAGATCACGCTCAAAACCTTTCAGTTCATTTTCGAGTCCCCAATTGCCGATCAACCACGCGTTCTTTCCCCATTTTTCCAATAGGTTCAGATTCTGTGCACGGGTATCGAGATAGGCGTAGGAAATGTAGGCCTTCTGGAGTGAGTCGGCAAGACGAATACGGTCTTCTGCTGTTGACGATTCTCCAGAGTCAGTAAATGGCTCCTGTGTTTGATAACGGTCGAGATCAATGGCTTTGAGGGGCTGCTTGGAAGCGACGCGCTCCAGCTCGAGGTCGACGAGGTGGGAGAAAGACGGTTCTTTGTATTGTGGCACAGGCGCCGGGGAAAATGTGGATAGTTCAGCTCGAATTAAAGACTCAGCGACTTCGCGCTCGGCTGGTGTGGGCTCGTCATCAATATCTGCAGGCGTCATCCGTTAGCCGAAGGGTTTGCGCGGCAGATGGTTCGAATAACAAACACACATGGTAGCGACTCGTGGAAAGCGTTCAGCGCGGACATTGTGTAGGTATTCCAACGGAGACGTCCTAATCAGGGAAAGAGAACTAAAGAATTCGAGCGTGTCAATTGGTTTGTCTTGCCGATAGATGGGTTCGGAGGGGTTGATGGTATAGGTGGTGTAAGTATCTCTGCCGATGTCAAACGGGCGCGAGGCTGCCGCGATCGAAGTTCAGAAATTTGGAACCTTGGAACGCACTGACGCACTTAGCTGCCCGATAGGAAGATAAAGTCGGCTACAAGGAAACCGGGCCCGTGCGGATTTTTTTGGCTTTTTGGAATCGGGTGCACAGGCCATCCCGCCGTCGATCATTGGTCCGGGGTTCGAGGTCCACTCACACAAACAAACACTTGAGCAGACAGTGGAGGTTGCCAGAGCAGACAAATCAGGCCTCTTCAGCGGTTGACTAGCGACGCTTCAGCGCTAGCGGGCTGAAAAGGTCCCTTGGCATAGGTACCCACCCACACTATACTGCCCCCATTGCTTGGGCTCTCATCCACTCCACTCCGTCCCGACTTCTATGACAGGCGATGGGACGACGGGTACTGACGTGCAGGCATGGCTTTAGTTGACGATGGCTTCTTGCCTGCCCCACCGAGACCTTTTTTCTTTCAAACTTCCTTCAAACAGCACTTAGTCAAGGCTGACGCAGATGCTAAAATCCGCACTTGCCTGATGAAACTGGTTGTTTTCTTTGACAGAAGGAGCCGCTGAGTCATCCGAGAACTGACAGCACCAAAAGATGCGTGGACGAGAGTGGAATGAAGCGTTCAGCACGCCTTCATTCCTTGTAGACAGCTTCCACGTGAAAGGAGGCAGGCGTAATTCTTCTCTCGCATTTTCGTTCACTCGGAATAAACGACTTCCATATAGTTCATGTCACGTATTTCCACCGATCGAAAACTATTCAATATGACCAAGGGGATTTCACCTCCGCACTTAATAGTACTAGAACGGTTCAACCAGAATAGCAGCCAGGCACTTTCCAAGTCCCAGTTCCGATCCAGCGTAAAATTCATCGTCCTTGTACCCTTGGGGCCTCTTCGCTTTTCGCTCTTCGCTGCCCGTCGCCGCCGAAGCACCTTCCCATTCCGTCACCTTCGGATCTTGCAGACGGATATGACGGATGGGATCCGGAATGCAATCCGGGGGCTTCGAGCAACCCAAGAGGAGAGACGTCGTTCGCCCGTAAGTGGTTCACTACCCCGAGCTATTTGACCTGGCGTTCCATCCGTGCCTCGCCCCCGTCTAACTATGGAAATGTGGCTGCCACCGGCCTTGCCGGAAGCAGTGGTCCGGGTACGCTCTGTTCGCGATTCCAGCCTGGATCGTCATCCTCTCATCGAGTATCCACCACGCGAGGAGGCCAGGAGACGGCCGCCTCCTTGTCTCAGTGTGGCGCGCTCCTGTCTGAACTATTGCATGCGGCACACCATGTGCTTGAAAGAAGGTCAGGTCGGGGACCTGTGAAGGATGACTTTGACTACTTTCAACTGTCACGTCGCTGTCAGGGCTAGTCGTGAGCCCCCTTTTGTGGTTTTGTTGTTGTGGACGGTTACTAAAGAAGAAGAAGAAGAAAACGTGACCAACGGCGTTGGTGATACCAATGCTTCTTTCTTAAGAAGCAAATATCCCCATTAATATGATCCACAGTCCCAGTAAAGTTTGCGAACTCAATTAGCCGCCAAAACGATCCCACCTCGGACATCATGAGGTTTTCCCTGTCTTTGGCCTTTTTGGTGTCTGCGCTGCTGGCTGTTGCGGCCGAAGCTCAAAACGGTAGTGCCATCTTGAACGCTGTAGCCCAGCTTCCCACATGCGCGGTAGGGATTTACAATTTCCAAGTTCGAGCCGGGCTTTTCTAACTTTGCTCTAGGTTACGTGTATCTTGTCCGCTGTTAAAGATTCGCCATGCGGGTTGACCAACACAACATGTATCTGCAACGATTCGAAATTTGAGTCAACGACAGAGAGCTGCATAACTGGAGCGTGTAGTATCAAAGACACACTTCGTCAGTAATGCCTTTCTACTTGACTTCCAGGGGCATATACTAATGGATCAAAGATGCCAAAGCCGTTTTCGAGACTACTTGCGATAAACCTGTCAGGGATCACAGCGCAGAATATGTCCGGCTTACGTGGGTATTGCTGGGACTCACGACATTCGTGGTCGCAGCTCGCTTGATATACAAGTACTTCTCGTCAGCGCAGCTCGGACTCGATGACCTGTTCACCTTCCTCGCCTACCTGGCCGTCCTTCCGTCGTTCATCATCAATCTGGTTGGAATTCTCCCTGCCGGCCTTGGCAAAGATATCTGGACCCTCACACCACATCAAATCGAGAGCTTCGGTTATTGGTTCTACATTGTGGAGCCAATGTACTTCGTACAGATGGGCCTTGTTAAGATGGCAATTCTATGCTTCTACATGCGCATCTTCGACCGGACTGGACTTGGAAAGCTCCTTTGGGGCACGGCTGCCTTCAATGCCGTCAACACCTTCGTGTTTCTTATGGTCGGCATTTTTCAATGCACACCTATTCACTATTACTGGACTAGATGGGATGGTGAGCATCGCGGTACATGCATCAACATCAATGCGGTTCCGTGGGCGAATGCCATCATCAGTATTGTACTAGACCTGTGGATCCTATACCTTCCTCTGTCTCGAATCCGGACTCTCAACTTGCACTGGTGGAAGAAGCTAGCTGTCACGCTTATGTTCTGTGTCGGTACTTTGTAAGATCTCCTATGAATCTTTGACTGACTACCGGAAACGATGCTAACACCTTCAAGCGTCACCGTTGTCAGTATCCTGAGACTTCAGTCACTGGTCCGGTTCGCAAACTCCTTGAACCCTACATGGGATCAGTTCGATATTGCATTCTGGACATGTCTTGAGGTTCCCACCGGCATCATCTGCTGCTGTCTTCCAGCCATCCGTCTCATCCTTATCCAGGTTTTCCCCAAGCTTTTCGGAATGCTCACCAAGCGCTACGATACACCAAAGTACGCTGGATCACCCTCAAGCGGCGCGGATGGCAGTCGAAGCACGAATCGGATGTCTCGTCCTCCTCTGGCCGACTCTTCGACCACGGAGCTGCAACTTTCTCTACGAGGTGACAAAGAACTCGTCTGCACTAAGAACTTTGCGCTGGAGACTCATGGCACATCGAGTCTCTACGGGATGCAAGATCTCGAGTCCGGAAGTGCCAAGAATAGTCTTTCACAAAGCCACAGATCAACGTCGATCTCACACACTTCCAGTTCTGTCTCGGATGACGGTGCACCTGACGGAAACAGTCTGGCCCCTCCGAACACTAAGCATATCTAGCATCGGTCTTTGAGCACGGAACCGTACCCGAAAATTCATAGAATTCAGACGGCTGAAAGCGACGACTAGCAGCACACCAACAAGCAACGCGAGACCAGTGTATATTATATTTTGTTCTACATTTTGTAAATTTTGGGATAGGAAAAATGCGCAGGCGCAGGCGTGCGGAGTCACCCATAACTACTTCATTCATAATTTAATACCTACGTATACATACATGTATCATGTCGTATCGGAGGTGTTGGAAAATGCAAACAAAGAGAAGAACGCTTAGTGAGCAGATCACGTTGACCGGAGGAAGGAACTTCTATGCGACGGCTTTAGGCGTAATTGCCGAGATCAAGAACGAGAAAATACACACCTTCAAAGCGCGATTGAGATTGATGAGCATTTGAATAAGCGGCCGCCCTAACCGCTCTTGGCTCGGCAGGGTGCCGTTTGTTTTGATGCAAGCAGTTTCATCCCTCGCACAGCTTTGTTCGTAACTGACGATGTCAAGCCAGCCGCCCAGTCAATCGTGGAAAGCCTTCGTGGATTTGAGGATTGCAGAAGCCTGGGTGTTCATCAGCAGGCTGTTTTCCTCGAATATGCACATATGAACTTCTCGTAGGGTCCATTGGTCACTTCGCATGCCGTCTTCACTCGTAAGCTACTTCCATCCAAGTTTCTAGATCTCATGTCTTTGATCTGAGCCGTGCGAGCTCGACCTTACTTTACGAGTCTAAGTACCATTCCATTTTGTTTTCAAACACCAAAAAATCCATAACAAAAGTGTCAATAGAATATTTCCCCCTTTCTCCATCTTAGAATGGGGAAGGCAGGTGCAGGTCAGGTGGTGATTCCCTCTCCTAGCTATGTTTCAACAGCCCTGTCGTCATGGGAAGTAGCAATTTGGGTCACTCCTGCCAAATAGAACCCTGTGAGTACTCTTCTCCTTTCACCCAATCTTCTCCATGGGCCATTACCCTTTTCTTCTTTCACAATTGATACGTATTCCACCCTCCTGAAGCAATGCGCATGATGCCAGCTTTCTCCATCCAGGCCTTCTACCAAAGGGAGGTGTCAACCACACCCAACAATGCTTTGAGAGATAGCATGATGCAACCGCCAGACGATGGTTTCACCCAAGCAGAAGTTGAGTCGGGTCAAAACCCCCTCGGCCGCCCCTGGAACCCGTCTGGAGAGTACTCAGAGGTGCATATTGGGCACATTCAGCCGGGCCCAAATCGCATCTGCTTCACCGGCCGCATCGTCAATTATGTGCCAGCTTTCCTCGTTTCCAAGGTTACTTACAGCCGCCCAGCACACCAGCTCATTGTCGTTGATGGCACCGGTGCCATTGCGGTATCATTGTCTGTTTTCTGTGAAATTCAAGCAGGATCAATGCTGATACCTTTGCACAGGTGAAGCTCGTTCCAATTGGGATTCCGGTATCTCTTCTTGTCATAGGACAGCTCGTCACCATCTGGGCCACTTGGGCGGGAATCACAGGAGGCTCAAACCATCTTCGAATTCCTTATGTTACCATGTATACGCCCATAAACCCTACAGAGGTGGGCACGAAGCAGTTCATCCAATTCCTTCCCGATACTGCCGAGAACCAAAGACTCTGTCGTACGCCCATCGAGTGCGATCGAGACCAGCAGGAGCCGAAACCACTCCCAGGCTTGATGACCCTTTGCCAGTACCTTAAGACAGGACACGATATTTCTGGGGCTCGAATCATTGTCTGCGTCAAAAGCGTTGGATCTCGAAGACGCATAATAACGCGAGACCTAGCACGAGAGGCAGAACTCATCGAAGTCACCGTTTGGGACGACACCGCCAGCTGCGTGTTGACTCTATGGGATGACAAGGCCGACTCAGCCAAATTCTGGAAGCCCAACGAGACCATTCTACTCTTTACGAGTCCGAAGTTTGTATCTCCACGTGACAGCAAGCCAACCCCGACAAACGCCGGCATCAGTTTAAGCTATAATACCCTGGTTGATGTCGATCCGGACTTCCAGGATGCCAAGTGGCTTCGACAGTGGGTGAAGAACAGAGTCAAGAAGGATACCGTGTGCGTGCCATTTCCAAAAGATATCTGGAATGCAAAAGAGGCCGTTTATGGACCAGTCCGGGCGCTCTTCACCCTGGCCGAGGTGGATGACTTCGCCCGCGCAGACCCGGCCAGTGACTTCACCGGCAAGCTGAACCTCGCCATACTTGGTACAGACCTACTGGGTCATAGTCGCAGAAAGATGCTTTGCTGTACGGAGTGGTAAGGAAGAGCCTCCTTTTTGAGTAGTGTCTGCGCACAGTAAAGGAGAAGGGTAACAAAGCTGACACATCTATCCGCTTTAGTTGTGGAGTTCCCCTATATGCAAACCAAACGTCCGCGACATGCAAAAACTGCCTGAAGGAGCGATCTCTGGTCCTTAACCCCCGAATCATGGGTATCCTGGCAGACGAGACGGGCTGCGTCGCGCAGGGGAAGCTTGTATGGAGTGACCAGGCCTGGAGTGAGCTCTTTTTCCCCGCCGTCGAGTCGAGCGATATGGCGAACCTGGAGCCCGAAGCAGCGGGCGACGCGAAGATATTTTTTCCCTCTACTTGTCCCGTCGCTTCTTGGACAGAACTCACCCTGAAGGACCCCAGTGGGCTCAGGATCTTGGAGGAGCAAATGCTGTACGCCCGTTTGACTTTGACATTCGGCTAGTCCCCATTTGTCGAGCGGCTATGTGTGCTTGGAGTTGAGTGGTGAAGGGTTCGTATTTTTCCAATAGTGGCTCGAAAGCGGGGGTTGCAGTTCTGTTTCGTCATGGTGTTGGTGGTGTAAAGTGGTGCTCACCTGGTGATGAGGGGTTAGGACGAGGGAACTCAGAGAACAAGGCCCGCGTAATGAGGAGAATATGAAAGGCGACAGATGCGGTGACGAACCTTTGCTTTAGATCAATCGTTGACTACTAGTAGCCTAGGTTGGTCCTCAGGTACTGAACTTGAGGATGTACGTTTTAAGAGCTGGTCCCGGTGAAAAGCAAAAGAGTGCTGAGTTCCGAATTCACCTTGATTCCTGGTTCCCGTCAATGAGCTTGGAGGCTCTCGTTCAGTCGAATGTACGTACGAGATTGTGGTTGGTTTGGTACATGTCCGTAATCCACGTTCAACTACACGTTCAAAAAGAAGTAGTACGTGACAGGGTCCTAAGCACTTCTGAGAGCTGACCAAAGAATGTCTGGGACACAAAAGGCCTGCCAACGTTCGTTCCAGAGCTTCGTATCACAAATGGCCTGGAAAGGTATGGTACTGCTGGGCCTTCAGGAAACAGGGTGAAGCAAAATCACAGGGATAGACAAGGCGAGAGGCAAGAGAGTGTGGTACAAGGCATGGATCCATTACTAAGATCATTGGCCGTTTGATTTGTGATAGTACAAGGGCGACACTTTCGTCGCCAAGTCATAAGAAGTTCGTGATGCATACTGTCATCCGCCACCGAGGCAGTCAATCTTTCGAGCGGGGATCTCCGTATATCCCCGTTCTGGTCCTCAAAATACAAAGCCATTTGTCGCCGAACCCGTTTCGTAGGAGAGATACCTGAAGCAAATAGTAACCTGTCCCCCATGCATGATGTGTTGTGTGTTTGTGTTGTAGTGTTTGTTGTTAAAGTTTGGAGGGCGAACAAGAAAAGCCGTGAAGTGAACATTGACTGCCTTGCCGAAATAGCGGTTATGAGAGTGGATGCACCCGAGGAAGAGACATCAGAGTCATATGATTAGTGCTTGTTGATCTTTTCGTCACCGTAGGCGGAAGAGCGACCACTCTCAGAAGACTCGGTCTTGGTGAGATCCTCGCCGTCTTCCTCGGAGGGGCCGTGTATGGACTCCTCAAAGACGGGCTCAGGCTCATTGACATCGAACTTGGTCTTGAAGGCGCCGATGTTATCGGCGAAGCCACTGCTGTTGGTGCGGCGGCGGGCATTGGTGAAGCGGAAGTCCTCGTCAATGACTTCCTCGCCGGCGTTGCCCCTGTAACATATTTTTGTAAGCGGTTGGACATTTCCAAGTAGGTTGTGCGTTGGCAGGAAACGGTGGTGCTTTAAAGTCGCCGAGAAGGGATATGTGTAAGTGGGGTAGAGGAGGCCCAAACATACCAATTGCTTCTGCCGCCGCCATTCTTCTTCACCTTCTTGGGGTCGACACCCTCGTGGCCATGCTTCGCAAAGTAGCGAGGCAAATGCTCCTGGGGAGAGGCAGTCCCGTCGGCCAGGCCAGCGTGGTCACGGTCATTGAACTTGTGAGATCGAGTCACTGAGACACGATGGATTAGTCAAAATTATCCCAAATGCAGCGAACCAAGAATTGGCGTGAGGGAATGAGATCCAGTAATAAACATTGATAGTCTAGGCGTTGTTGTTCATGTCGACAGCGAAACGGCGTACGGGCCGGAGATGATGAGGAACGACGACACGGAAAGGGTGGTGATGCAGAGCAGTGAAGAGCTTCGCAGTCATGGGAGGGGAAAGGGAGACACACTCTTGATGGAATTGGTGTTGATAAAGGTCGTTGTTAGCGTACAACGCGCTTGGAAGGGTTCAGTCAGAGCGGATTGAGGTTGTGGAGAATTGCTAGTGTTTGATGTTGGTCAGAATTGATCGTCCTTGATGAGTTGATTCGACGAATTGATGAACAACTTGATGGGTAGTGGTGATGTGAGAATGATGGAGGGGAGAGGGGGAAGATATGCAGATGAGGAGAGCTACTGAGGATGCTTTTAAAGGACGAAGGCTCGAGAGAAATGACAGCCTATCACATCACGCGATCATCAGATAGCTTGCCCAATGGGGGTGGCATAGCAAGGCGGAAGTATCGAGCAGGTCCGGAACTGCTGGGGTTCCTCTAGGAAAGTTGGATCGCGTGACTTGATGCAACGGATGGAGGGGCTGCTGCAAGGGAAGCACCGCAGGACGGCAGGAGGTGGACGAGGAGGGGGAAGGGAAAAGGGGGCCACTGGAGACTGGACCACGGGGGAACCGGCCGGCATGGACTGGGAGTGGCCGGGAGTGGAGATGGGCGTGGACTGACGCCAGACCAAACCTTCATTATGCCACCTTTTGTTGTCCCTCTCGCAGCATTGATGAATTGAAGACTAAAAGCTGCTGTCTCTGCTGGCCGGTGGGACCCCAACACCGCACAGCTCCACGCTCTACCTTTCATTTGCTGCTCTGTCCCGCTGAATTCAGTTGTTTGAGATTCTTTTGCTTGATAGGCTATGTAGACCGTCCAATTTTGCCTGTTTTTTCGATAAGAAAGCAGTGTGATATTGTCCGTTGGTCAAAGAACTCTCCCTCCTTCTCCTGACAGATTTCCTACTCTGACTGATTGACCACGGGAGCACAGTGACGCAAAGAGGCCCCACTCGGATCCGGGGTCTCAGGTACGAGCCCGCAGCTGGTACGGGTGGCCAGATTGCGGGGTAGTGGATACCTAAGTACCAACCGCCGCTAACTCGGTACATCATCCAGGCCACTATAATGCAGTGGCTGTCCAAGTACCGGAGCAGCACGAGACCAGTACCCACGAACCCCTGCCATCGAGCCATTTCGGGGCCGCAACTGACCCAAAACTGCCCATCGCCAGTGTCGTCTCACAGATTCACCCCGGCTTATTCCTTTTTGCCTCTCCATCAGTCGGCGTCGTCGTCGTTTGCGCAGCCGCTTCTTTCTCGTTTGTTGACATTCCCGCATCCCGTAAGGGTCTCAATTGTGCCATTCTGCTTCTTAGTTCCGAGGTCGGGACCTAACCCGACACGCGTGGCTGAGGCAGCTTCTTTGGTGCTTCTTTTGAAGCCTGGGCCAATGTAGCAGCTTCGCTAAGGTATTCTGACATAGCGGCTAGCTGTATTAACGGGGCACCTGATCATGCTCATGCTCGGTGACTGCCGCCCGTTTTCCACCTTCCACTTTCCAGGCTCCACGTCTCCTTGCTCTCCGTGGATTTTACCCAACACATTCTGCCTTGAAGACACCTCTCTGAAGCTCCGCAACGAGTGCTCAGCTCCAATTTGATGGGGAATGGGGATCCCTCATGGATCCTCTTCATCGTCAGCTGCCATGGCCTCGCTTCCGGACCTTGGATCCCAAGAAAATCCCGTCCCAACAAGTCTGAGATGCCGCTGCATCTCGCGGGGAATTGGCCGTATGACCTGGAATTCCGCGTTTCAATCTCGGTCCCCGAAACCCCTGGACAGGCCAAGCTCGTCAGGTCCGAGTCAATTGACCAATGGCCCCACCCGGCTCAGGCGGAGTGCTTTCTAGAGCTCTCTCCGACGCTCGACCCGCAGTGGGCCTCCCCCCGATCTCGCAGCACATCCCACGCCGAGGCCTGCTTCGACTCATCAACTACCTTATCTTCCAGCTTCAGACAAGATTGAATTCACAGCTTCAACGCGGCGCATAGATTGAAGAGCCCGTGAGCACCAGAGAGACCCTCTCTTCTGGCCATCTCCACCATTTGACAGCTTGTAGTGTACTCGTTAGCCCCCTGACTCGCACGAATCGGTTCCCCGCCGTCTGTGCACTCGGCACCACTCCTCTGATCTACCCTGCAGGCTGGTTGTCTCGACGGCGCGCTTGACGTGTCTCCCATCTACCTGCCGCATTACCATCAAGGCTGTCATCCCATTCGTCAGTTGATAACCGGCCGATAGGTGGCCGGGACCAGCTTCTAACGACCTCCGGCTCCGTCTGCCAGGCTTGACTACGTCTCGGCCTTATTTACTTTATCTGGTCCGGATCGACTGCCGTATCTATCTGGAGCTCTCTATCTTCTGCGGGCCAGATAATGTTATCAGCAAATGTGGATTTTACGGTCATGCTGACGGTTGCGGAATCGATGTTTCCAAGATTCCAGAGTCACGAAGGCCGAAATGGCAGGCGAATGGCAGGCGGTTTCGGATGGCTCGTCGTTCCGAACTGCCTCATTTACAGCGGGGTTCAGTCACTGTCGATGGACCACAACGCAAGCGGCCACGCCTCAGCTTCCCCACGGGTCCCGTGACCATCATGCTGTGATTACTTCCCCCTCTATTCCCCTCGTGTTGATCAGTCTCGACCCGGTATTGCTCGCGATTGTGTGAGTCAAGTCCGTTATCACGACAAATTGATATGAGGCTTCAAGTTTTTTTCTTCGAATAGCAACGAGATCTACGCGGCTGCGTCGTCGTGATTGGGTCATCGAGTCTTCGCTAAAAGCCCACGTCACAAGTGCGTACCTACCTTACTTGACTCATGATTTCGCCTTCCATATGCGCGAGCTCATCCGCGCGCAATCCCAATCCGCCAATCTATCAAGATTGTTGCCCTTGCCACGCATCGTTCGTGACAACTTTATCAAGGACAAGTCTCCAGATCCAGTGCTTTCTATTCGCCCCAGAGACGTCATTCGAGCTATTTGTCAGGAAATCAACTTTGGGGCAGTAAGTTTCGCGATCCTCTGTACCGAACGACCCAAGTTTTGCACTTCAGACCTTGACGACACGTTGCCTTTATTTCTCTACTCAGGGACTCTCCACCATCATCACCCATGGCTTGCATTGATAACTTTCGCATGCGCTTAGCTCAGCCATTTCAAGGTGGCGGTTATTTACAGACAAATCAGATTGAGGTTGTTTCTCACCCTTAAAGACTTAGACGCTCGTCGTCGTATTCGCAACCCCACCAGCCCTAGCTTGCGTCAGTGATATATACTATTGAAGTAGTGCATGAGTTTGGCGCAGCAAAGCGTCTGTAAATGGTCATTCCATTCTGTGGCCCAATCGCTAATTAAGCCAATCAAATTCTCCTCGTCGAGTAGACGCGCTGAGCCGCGATGCTTCCTGCTATCGATCTCAGACAAAAATAGTTCACTAAGACAAAAGCAAGGTATATAACATCTCATAGGTCCCAAGTACCTCTGCCGTCTTTTGTCCAAGACTTTGGCGGACTTCGCTTGCCAGTTTTCAAGTGTTGCGACGAGGGCAAGTGCACACTTCAACAGCGACAGAAGGCCTCTTTCGGTCCGAGTCTATGACTGTGCTTCTTTTCTGACAGCACGCGATGCCCTTCGTTGAGAGCAAGCCGCTTAAGAACTACTGAGGCATGAGCTCAAACTAAGCTCGACTTTTCGTAAGCAACCTCCAATTGCTGCTAGGCGCAGACATGTTCCGGTGTCTTTTCTGTTATTTTCCAACGACTTCAACACCGAACGTTATGTATGGGCGAAGCTTGAGGCCTAGCAATGTTGCAGATCCAACAGCTCAAGAAGTGTCTGCATTGATGTGGTATGAGATGCGGTTACAACTGCCAGCGGCTACGTGAGGTACGAGCAGAATTCACAATCTGTCTGAGACCGAAATGAGCCTTTCATAATGTCTAATACTGGATCATCGAAACCACCGTTGCTCCCGTAGTGGTGGTCAAGAATAGGTACTCTAGCCAAGTTCCAGCTGTAGTTACGTCTGACGAAACACAAATTCCATCACATCACCTTCAAGATGACAGATAATGGAGACGTGTGGATTTCAAGCTGACTGCAGCGCTTTCGAGATTTCTTCGAACGTTATTCATTCAAATTCGGTCAATAGAGCCAGGTTACAGTGCTGAATCATTCTATGAGTATCAACTCAATAAGCTGAAGTCTTGATATCAGATCTCAGGCAAAGCTATCATGGCATCTCATTCCAAGACACCTGTGCTGAGCTCGGTTGACATATGACCCAGTCGAAGCTGATGTTGAATTCCAGACCTTTATGGAATCATTTGATCTCTGTGGATCGATTGGAAAATTTTCCTCTACATCAGAATAAATGATTGTCTCGGGGATATTTCGACTCAGAAGGATAGAGGTAAGCCTGACCAAGAGCCGTCAAATCAAATTCGGGGTTCCCGACATACCGAGAAAACCTGACGTTCGATGCAGGGCAAACCAGTAAGAAGCAACGTGACATCCCGACCTTCGAATTACTCATCCATTGCACCGCACGAGACTGTACGCCTAGTATCTCAAGTACCACGCAGCAACCCGAAAGAACGCCATCGCTGGCATCGGAGGAGCCAAGCGGGCTACCCTTGCGGCAATGCTGTCTTGTTTCCCAATAAGGACATGTAGTGATCACCGAGAAAACATGCAAGCACTGTAATCAATCTTGAGCCAAAAAGGAACGAACAACGTGTCGGCAGCTGCCGATTATTGACACCTTATCCTCATCAATACGTCAAGTCTATATCCCTACAACGAGAATGGGGAGAGCAGACCACCCTTCATCCCATGCTGAGACCAGCATGGCCATAAAGCGCCACCTGTAAGTTGATGATTGTTCGTATAAGGTGTCAACGTAAGCCACACGCCAGAAACGAAAACCCAAAAAAACCTGTACTCAAGCTATCTCGGATTTTCTCAAACAATTCGCCACGAGCTGAGCAACCACGAAGTTCACGGCGCTTCACGCACATACCACAAAATTAATGAAGCATTGAAGAAACGATCTAGCCGCGTTCCTTCACAGCCACACGTTTCAGCACAAGCGCGCTTTCTCAGCTGGTCAAGCTCCAGTCTCTTGGAAAGCTTCTTTTTTTCTCTCAGTCATGTTTACTCACGCATAAATGAGGGAGGCTCAGATATCTCCAGGTCATGTGTACGACCGTCCCAACGGAGATTGGTCTCAAAAGCTTAAGATAATGTGAAAATTAGATCCAAAAGAGGGTACGGGATCGGCTCCGGGGAGCCAGTCACCTCGCACGTACTTCTTAGACTCCAAAAAAGAAATGAGGCTATAAATGTCGTTGTCGTCGAACAGGGTGCTGACGTGGGTCGATGCTGAGTAACATGCCGTTTCGAAACATCTCTCTATCAACGGGTCAACAGGGCTGAGGCAAGGCCGGTGAACACAAACGGCTTGCACTGCCGGTAAGGTAAGGCAAGGCAGACTAGGCTAGACAGATCTGAGAAAGGGGTCCAACAAGCCTGTTTCTTTTGATTTGACTTTTCTGGCTGCCGGCCGTTCTTGTCAACGGTTAAAGGATTTTATCCCGGTGAGCCAATTGTAGAAAAGCCCCCAAAAGCTTGGAACATGAACCTCCGCCCAAACTGGGTTGTTCCCACGAGGATTTCGGCAAAGCCGCGCACACCTTGGCCTCCAACTCGAACCCAGAAGAGGGAAAAACCTGTCATCCTTTGGACTACTCATCCCCTCAAAATCATTCATTCGTCCTTATGCAGTGAATAACCTGCACCCTTCCCCTCTCAGCCGTACCTTAGCATGGTGATATTTTTAAACGTAACCCATCTCTCAGCTAAACAAGGTTATCGGACCCAAGTAGAGACCGAACCCTCGCCAGTGGACACCGTCCCCCCTCTCTCTCGGTCATGCAGACCGAGAGGCTCTCCAGACCGAGGAGAAGAAACATGCCGGGGGCTCTGGAAGAATTTCCTCGTCATTGAGTTGCGGGGTTGCCTGTACTAGTCCCGAACTCTCAGAATCCCTTGAGAAAATCCGAAATGCGCAGTCTTTGGAGGATGGGAATCTCACGTGTCATTTCATATTCTGCTTCGACTATCCCCTAAAAGTTTCCATCCCCCATCCGAGCCCCCTCTCTTCCAACGAGCGTGTAAAAAAGACTAAATACCCCTCAACTGGCATATCGTGACATTCGAATGCGGGGAAAATTCTCCTCTCGGAATGGCCTCCCATCATCATCATCATCATCAAAGACGTGTGACAAAAAACTAACATGTCCCAGAAACGCCAGGTCAAAAACAAGATGAAGTCCGATACCTGCCAGCCCATGTTTGCCATCTAATAATAGAGCCAGAAATCTCAAGCACGCCGGGACCTGAAGCAAAGAAAAAGAAAGAAAAAAAAATGAACAGAGAATGAGAAATCAGGCGAACCTCCACATCCGTCAAGCCAGTCGGCCCATGTTCCATTCGTGCGTTTGACAGCCATCTCGTCGATTGCGCGTCCAAAATTTCCAGCATCCGATCTTTTGTTTTTTCCTTCTCGAAAATGAGTGGGATATTCGCGGCCCCTTATTTGCGTTTTCCCTCCCGCTCATTACCATTACTTCCCCCCCTTTTAAGCAGGTTTCACACTCAGAGGGTGTAAGTCTGCATATCCTGAAACATGAACAAGTTGTCCGCGAATTCCATCGCACCGGGGTGTGACGACATGCCCATGTGGGCGGCGGTCATTGTGTCGTAAGCCATTGCCGGCGCCGCAGGGTGTTGCGGCATATGTTGTTTTTGTTGCGCCCTCGCCTGCGCTCCCCGGAGCTTGAGAAACTCGGCATGAAGGGCAGAATAGGCCTGGCCGAGGGAGTCGTTCTTCTGCTTCTGATCGGAGAGCATGACCTCGAGGTCCTTTATGCGCTGGTCCTTGCGCTCGCGGTATGCTCTTTGTGAGGCTCTATTTTGTGCTCGGCGTCGCTGTTGGGCAATTGTGTAAGTCCACTGCTGCCCAAAAAAAAAAAAAAAAAGGTCCATTTCTGTGATACTGGCGGCGCTGATCCTGTGTTGTAGAAAGGTCTAAACTTACTGAGAGCACCGACGGGGGCGCATTTTTGTAGCGATTTTCACGCTTTCTCTTAGCCGGGCCTTTGGTTGTGCCAGGTTTGTCGTCCATGATGGGCTGAGGTGACGCTGTATCGCGAGAGGAGCTCATTGGGCTAGGATAAATGTTGTGGTCGGTGCCATTGAAGTCGTTCACAAATGTCATGTCAAACTAGGACACGCATTGGTCAATTGAAACTCTTTTTGTATGACAGAGGCGTCAACTCACAGTTGATATGATGGGACTTGTAGACTCAGATGAGCTGGTCGTGTCCAAGTACTGCTCTGTCTCGTCATAGACGTAAGGCGCCTCCATATCCAAGAAAGCGTCCATGTCGTCGTACATGTTGAGTGGCAGTGAGTGATCCATGTGTAATGATTGGGCGTCAATGAGAACAGGCATAAGAGTGTGTGGTGTATGAGGCGGGAGGCGGGTCGATTTGACGTTGTCTTGAGGTCAACGGGCTGTCAAGTCTGGGCGAAGAATGGATGATATATACGAGAAAGCAAACGGTCAACGCCTCGTCTGGAAGGGTATGTCTGGAAGGTGATGTGTAATGCGAACTAAGCTACACCATGATGCTTTGCAACCGGGCTAAGAGGAAATATATATGGCGCGACGCATGCGAGAGAGACGCACCACACAAAGCTAGGACAGGGTGCTGGCACGTCAAGACTCGGGCAAACTAGTAGGGCAGAAGCTACATGCACATGTGTGAAAGCAGTGTCCTCTGGTTCGTAAGTACGTAAGTAAGCAAAATTTCGACAGACATTGTCAGGACCACGATGTACATACCGGCAACGCAACAATCCAATGGGCCCAGGGTCGATTGGACCCCAGATAGCGCAGCTCGTGGGCTGCTTAGGTGCATAGCAGTCCCTCTCACACCCACCCTGTTCCTGGTCCACGATGGTGTTCTGGGTAATATGATGGGGAGCCAAGAGCGAAAGAAGAATCGCCGCCGCCGCCATTCTGGGCCTGGTCGAAGAGCTTGACCCGGGTGGAGGGGTGGTGCGGGCAAGGATGGGAATGGAGACCCGCTGCTGTTTCTTTTGCATCTGCCATGGACCCGCTTCGAATGGACTGTGATGTTGCAAGGGGCCCCAGTCAGACGGAGCTAGATTCGACGGGGCAGGACGGGAGACGGTGCGCAAAGACGGAGGTGAGGGGTCGAGTAAGCCGACGCGGTGCCGTTAAGCTTTGGCCCTGCCGCCGTTGCATGATGCTGAGCCTTCTCGACCACGACGACGTGTTGGCAAGTTGGGATAAATCTGCGTGTTCGCGTTCTCATTCTGACGAGTCGAAAATTCAGACGACAGGTTTACGAAAGCATCGGCGCAGCCAGATCCAGCCTCTTCGTCTGGTCTGCTGGAGTTTTCTTGATCCTAGCTTCAGCGACAAGAAATAGGAAGAGTTGGAAAGGCAAACGTTCGTGGTCTCGCCTCTTCCGTCTCTTCTTCGGTGTAGACGATGCCAAAGTTACCTTAGACTCGCTTCTTCGGTGCCAATGAATCATGCTCTCTGCGAGTCGCCAGCAATACCGCATGGCCAACGGTCCTGAGACTCTGAATGACAGGCCCATGACTTGCTGAGTTAACTAGTCTGTCCAGGATGCAGAAGATGCAAGTCGTGGCTGTCGCTGGAGCCACAAAGTGGTCTCTGGTCTCGTCGACGTCCTTCAAGACGGAGGAAGGGGGAGGGGGAAGGGTGTGGCAAGGCGCGGGGGCTGCTGCCGAGCGTTGGAGTCGCAATCCCGCCTTTTGGGATCCGTTTCTTAGCAGCGAAGCTTTATTCTGGATAGACTTCTTGCTTGAGAAGGGCGGAGCCCAAATTGGATCTGAGCTGGGGGGGCAGCACAGTAAGGGCGTATGCATAACGCGGCAGCAGCTTGATGCATGCCGTTCTTTCGCCGTTCTCCGGGGGATCTCGAAGATGAGATGCGCAGTACGTCAGATGCCCGTATTGGGTCGGCTGCTAGGGACAGGACGACATACTCCGAGATTGGATGCAGCGGTGTTTGGTTCATGACATGTCAAGTTGTTGACGGTGGCGGTTGTAGCACGCTTCGACTTGCCTTGTTGCCAATGGTCCTCCTAGTGGGCGTTCGGCCCGGCCACAACCGGCGCAGACTCGGGGCTGCGAGTTGTCGTCGGGTTCCAGCAAGAAGCAGTGCCCAAGCAGTATGACGAAAGTGATGACTACGTTGCGCACCCTTCACATGCTTGCGAATCCCACAAACTTGGTAAGTGTTTCCAATGCTACTCAAGCCCAAGAAGAGGCCGTCTGCGTTTGCTGTTTTTCCCGTATGATAGTCGTTACGAACCACACCTGCCATTAATGGCATGCAGGACAACGGCACATTCACCGCGTGAGTGCAGCTATTGCAGGGGATCGTTGCCTTGCCGGGCTGGCCCGGTCCCAGAACCGAAAGCCAAGGGACTCCGCAGTGCCAACAATAGAAGCCTCCGCGAGTTCTGCTTGCGAACAAATGGGCACCTTGTGTCAAAAGTTGATGGTAGTTATTAAAGGTGTTCCCAATAGACTTTTTTCTTCCTACTCGGTCGTAGGCCGGAGCTAGGGTAAGCCTCGAGGTAGCTAGAAATCCTACACTAGGACAAAAGAGAGATGCTGGTGGGATCCCGTACGCAAACCCCAACTCAATTTCCGCCAGGACGGCCAATCCCATCCGTTTCTCATTTCTTCTTAGTAGAGGGGGCAGAGTTTACTGATATGTACTGAGGAACCTTGTGTCGGTGTTGCGAAGCTGTGTTTTGGCCTGGGGCCCTTAGCTTGCCGGGATGCTTGATAAAGTGGCGTGGAACACGCGACGGGAAGAGAATAAGAGGGGGGAGCAGAAGTAGCATGGGAATGTGGACTTCTCCAATTTCCCCTGTTTCCTGTATGAGTGGCCTCTCGATCTGGGGTTGCCTGTCGTGTACGAGCCCGAGCAGGTCGCGGTTGGCCTAGGGGTACTGATTCTGCAGCATTGGCATATTGGCATATTGCAACTTATGGAAACTTTGTGCTCTCTCATCCGCCCATGTCTAGTGTGATTCCCATGGGCAGACGTTTGGATACTATGTTATTCCTTGTTCTTGTATTATCCGTACAATGTACGGTTCTCCATCTGATAAGCGGTGGTCCCGTCAGAAGTTTTTGGGACAGTGCTGACAGACCTATATCGCCCCCACCGCAGCTACAACTCAACCATCTGAGGCTTGGGCGGTGTTTTGCATCGTATCGCGTAAGCGATCAAAGTCGTCCAGAGAGGATGGAAACGTTTCCTTTCTCCTTGTAGAAATTGTAAACTAGACCCTGAGGAAAGTCAGACACTGAAAATGAATAAACTGCGCATTGGTTGGCATTCAACGGCACATTTTGTGTGTGATGTGACCTGCTTAGTGGAATTCCGCTACACTAGCGGGCGTTCCCTCCAGAGACAAACGTTTTCTACCTGCACCGTTTCCAACTGCAGATCGCCGTTATCCCAACCTTGGCTATCTGTCTTGAGAGGTGAAATGAAGAGATTTGAGTCGATAGACAGCGCCATACTTTGCTGTGTGACATGTTCTGATCTGACGCTTCTCGCAAGCCGTCGCAGCCACTTCCAAATAACCTTAAGGTGAGGCGGCCGGAGATCAGCGTTCCTCTTACTCCCCGGATCCGAATCCTGCCGCCCGCAGCCCGTGCCCCCGGGTGGAACTCCACACCGGAACCCCCGAAAACGTCCTTCAACACCTCGCCATGAGTTGAAGTCCGCTTCCCAGCCGGAAATAGCAGGCGATTGTGACAATTTTTGGCAACAGGAGGATGCCAAATAGTTTGCCGTTCGTCGCATGACTTCTGCAAGATTTGATCGATTAGTTTCGCCACGGGCCGGTTGCTGTCCCCAAGATCAGGCAGCCATAAATCGTCCCTGTTCAAGCCCACTCGACCCCATTCTCCGCTCCCGAGTTCAGCGGAGGTGCGGGGTCCTACTGCGTGGTTGTATTATTCTTGGTATTATTTCGATCCCCAGTCCTCCACGCCTTTACGAACGTGCCAATCACAAGCTCAAATTTGTTTTGTCATGCTGCAGCTGCTAGCGCTACCCGCGTCCCCATATCTCATGGAACCATACTTACAGGGGATTCAGGCGTTGTAGTACCCCATCATGGGCAATGGATCGCGATTATCAGTGACTTGACGACCCCAATGTTTTACTGGTTTGTTCGGTCTCGACTAAGAACAGCGTAATCCTTGCTCAAGAGACCGAGACTCGAACCGGAGAGCTGAAGTGTTTTGGCGAACATATGAGGCTGGGATTCGGCAGAGTTGAGTCTATTTTAAAAGCTGCCGGCCCACCTTTGCGACAGAGCTAAGTAAATTCGCTGAGCAAAAGACCGCATTCGCGGGTATTGAGGCAATTCATTATCCCCATGGCCCCCTCCTGTAGACCCCGGGCGAGTGACAGGACCAAAAATTTGATTTGGATTTCGTGGTCTCGCTCATCTATCCATGCATATGTCTTTCAACTCGGTTTTCGCCCGCAACACGTGTGGGCTAGCGTCTAATGTAACGGGAAACCGCTAGCTGGGCGGAACTCCGTATGAAACGTCGGGCCCAATCTTAGTCGAGTCTGTAGCCATACAGGAGGTTGCTGTAGAAGAATGCTTTCAGGCTGAACCAACGACTAGCCCCCTCGAGTGCTTTTCTGCCAATCAACTGCAGTTGCCTGCTTCTTCAAGAGCTGACTAGGGCGGTGCCAGCTTGAGAGTATTGTACCTCGGGTGGTCATAAAAGAGAACGAATCGTTTGACTTGATGGAATATGTTTTGTCCTGGTGGTAAGCAGAAGGTGAGGGGGGGCAGAGTCACTTGCGAATCCAGGCACTTGGTTGAAGCCCTCGCTCTTCGTGGCGTGCATAAGCCACGTGCCACGACAGGCCCGATAAGGAGAAAGAATAAAGCCGGGGGAACATGGCAGGATAAGTGCCAACCCCCAAGATAAGATGCTGCGTTTCGAAGGTCGGAAGGTGATGGATACCGGCAGGACCTTGCAGGACCTTGCGAGCTTTCTCCGCCTTCGAGCGATCTTCGCTCTTGGAAAAGGCACGTCACAATGGCCATATGCCCATTCGACCGTCTCACGGCATGGAGTGGGCCTGGATAAACTGCCATACTCTGGGCAACTTGCGGGATTTTGGGAATCATGCCCTCAAACCCAGTCTCCATGAAAAGACACCATGTCTCGTTTCGTTGGAACTGAAGAATGATATTAGCAATTGCCGTGATACTAACTGTAATGTAGGTAGCAGTCCCTATTTGAAGGAGAATAAACGTCGTCTATACTCGGATAACCCATAGAAGTCTATGCACAAGCGCTATTCCAAGTTCAAGATGTGGCATAATTTGGAAGTCCTTCATCTTTGCACTGTGGTAGAACAAGGTGAACAGTGGCGTAAGGATCACCGTTTTGCGTCGAAATTTCGAAATTTGGAAGAAAAGACTCGTATAGGGGAGGCGTTGGGGGGAGACCACATGACATTTTCCCACTCTGGATTAGGCAGAAGGAATCTTTGCAAGTTCGTCTCGAAACTTCTTGCGCAGTGTCCAGGTCGTTGAACCGTTGGTTGGTGACTGGCAGCGTTTCCTTCGCTCACCAAAACTCCATTTTCCCACCTCAGTACAACTATTTTCCGAAAAGGGTAATTTTTGTACCCCTGACACTGGAGTTGCTGGGATGAGCATGCAGGGGACTGGACCTGTGAGCTGCGTTACCGGTATGCCAAGCCGCTATCATTCGTCCACGCAATTGGCGACAACATGTTTTGGATCCGAACGATGTTCTGGGCCATGGCCTCGGGTTCGACAATCAGTTCTCTGAGACCAGCAGAACCATGGTCTTGAACAATCTAAGCCGTTCACAGCAATGCTGTGCTCGATCAAAAATTAACCTGTCATCGTGGACAGGGGTGAGAGACTGTGCAGGACGGTGTTGGCTTCCACCTCTCAGTCTAGGCCTAGCCCGGCCCCCAATATGGGACAAGCACCCGTTCAACAGTGTGTAGCAGATTTGGTTGTCTGCACCTTGATGCTAGGAGTGCAATGAGTTTGCCATGACTGAATTGAGATTTATTGGGTCCATGGCTGGCTTCCAAGCCCCTCGCTTTGTTTGCCATCTTTCAAGATTGGCGGTGGCTCTTACAATTACAGCAGTCGGTATTCACTGCGCTGGATGCGATGATGCCGCTGGATTTGACCTAGACGATGTATCGTGTGGCACATGGCGACTGTCGTGGTATTTCTCCGTCCGCATACGCACCCCAGTCAAGAATCCTTTGATACAATCATGGAAATGCAGTAAGAACCCATTGCCTACCTATTTTCAGTTCACATCTGCGGACCCATATAATCGATGGGAAAAGGTCCCTGTCGATGGATGAATGTAGCAGAAGCCACCGCAAGTCTCCGTGGGCCAAGTCCTAGCCCTATGCAGGATGTTTGCGGGCGCAAGACAAAGGGACCATCGCTGTCTCCTGCCTTGCCGATATACTAATATCTCCTCCGATATGGGATCCTGATGCCCTAGCGAAACCTCGAGCGAGGCGAGGGAAGCGTCGATGGGGCGTTACAACTGTTCAAGTGGGCACATATCCATCGTGCTAGAGCTTTTGAAGTCCTGCCTCGGCCTGAGAGACACCGGGGCCGAAGCCAATCTTCCTGCTCATGTCGATTGCCTGCTGGAAACGCTTCCTTGCATCCTCCTTCTTTCCCAGAAGGGCGGCAATATCACCCATGTTGGTTAATGCTACAGCGCAAGCTTCGTCGCACTCTTCGGTTCGGTCCTCTCCATTCACATCCTTTGAGTGTGAGTAAGCATTGCTAGCCCAGTTCCTCGCAGCCTCCAAGAGCCCGGCTCGGTCTGTCGGCATGTCAGGACTGACTATGGCGTCGGAAATTGCAGGGGCGTTTGGAATGGCATCCAGCGGGGTTTGAAGAGGATGCTGGGCAAATGCCGCAGCCAGATTGTTCACTGGAGAGTGCGTCAGTACGATTTTCGAAATACACTCGAAGATGAGCCTAGGGTTCAGGAACATACTGATTGTTACTCGGTGACAAGGGCTGGCACAAAGTCGCAATGCCTGGAACAACAGAGGCACTGCCAGGTGGAAGTGAGATTTAGTCTCGTAGTGTTGGGCGAGGGCTATTGACCCCGGTCAGTAAATTGGAAGCAGGCACAAGTTAGGATGTGTAATGGGAGACCTACACTCCATGGCACCGCCGATTTCCTCTGGGCTCATCCAGGGACCTTCATCTTCCTTGACACCCTCCTTATGGCGTCGTCTTGATTCTGCCAGTGCTGTTTCGACGGCCCACGTCAGGCGAGCCTGAGCGTTTTCCGGCTCCATAACATGCTCGTCCGAATAGAGGGCACCAAGCTTAGTGCTAGTTCCGACGGCTTTAGCCAGAAGACGAGTGCGCTTGCGCCACAGGTTTTCGACAACCTTTTCTTCGCCATTCTCTGCAATTACTGGACGTTGATTATCCGACAGAGGCTTTACGGCAGGCGGCTTCCCTGACTTGTCTACTGTTCCATCTGCAACGGAGTTCTCAATCCATTCCACCCACTTGAGGCAGTCTCTGAGAACAGAATCCAAAACAGTTATGGCTCCCTGGTAATTTTCGATCTTTTCGAGCCAGGCTGCCGTTTGAATCCTTATGCCCAGGACATCATCAGAGAACGGGTCTAGCTGGAGCTCATTGCACTGCTCAAGTGCCTGCTTGTAGTACTTCCTCGCGAGGTTCGCATCGGGGCTGATATTTGTGTAGTAAAGGGCTCGGCGAAGAGACTTGGCGATGGGCTTGGGATACTTCGTAAATTGGCGGGCCATGAAGTAGTCGAAGTATAGCTTGACGATGTAGATGGAAACACCAGCTAAACCAGCAAGACTGAAGTATTTGGGTCAGCTTGGCAACTTAGACACGGCGACAACTTTGGATGCTCACATTGCTAGAGCTAATACAAGCTCTTCTGGGCTTTCCCTGAACATCCTCTTGATGCCCCTCGGTGTCATGGAAGTCAAAAGCGAGGGGAAGGACAATGCCCTCCAGAGCTGACGCGCGGAAGGTGGCGATGGTGGTGGCGGAGGAGAGGGATTGTTCTTCTTGGAGCCATTATAAGAGGGTTGTGAAGTACTCTGCTGTCTCGATTGGGCATGTCTGCACACACTTGAGGTGTTCCAAGATGCACTTGCTCGTAACGCTGTTGCAGACGTTGCGGGCGACCTGGCGACTTGGCGAAGTCCCAGTTTGTTAAGTGCCCGACATGCCGCAATGCGCGACACTGCCATAGTCGTCATCAATTGATGGGCGGATGTGAAAACAATTTCTGGAGTACGACGAAATGGCGCGGTATGGACAAAGCTCGTGGGTTGGAGCAGTGGTGGATGACTATACTCAGGCGGCTGTCAAGTGACGTATCGATCAAAAATCAATTAGAGTTTCAACTGCACCGTGGTCGGCAAGTCTGGAGCTCTTGCTAATGTGGGTCCAAGCTCATCGTTGCGCAGCGAATCAGACGACCGCAGTTACTCCGAGGCTCAGCCAGCAATGTCGCAAGTGCCCCCCCACCCGGATCGTGGGGAAGAGCTGCGGCATCAGAGGGGCAAATACCGACCTTCCTTCTCCCCGCCATCATCCATTTTGTGTAATAACTACAAGTATTCTTGACCATCGCATTTACGCTCCCTAGCCTTATAGACCCGAAGCTACACACCGACTCGTACACAAGCAGCGACAAGCCAGATGGCTGGAAAGTTTGAGCCCAAGAACCCCGTCAACCTGGCGCCTCCGAAGGATGACCCCATCACCCTTGAGGAGTTGGCCAAGGCCGATGGTAAGCCGATATGTTTTCATCTTCATTTCTTTCCTTCCTTGTTTTCTAGTAGTACACTCTCAGTGTGAAAGTCATGAGGAATCGTACTGTTTGTTGAAGCGGAGGACAAGAGGTATCTAGGCATCCTGGTTGGAAGTATTTCCCATTCAGATGTTCATGAACGCAAGTCTGTGTTTGTGAACATAGCCGTAGCTCGTGCAATTTCTCGGACCCCTGGTCTCGAAGGTGTTCCTATGTTTTCCCTGGTCTTCACATGCAACTGTCTTGCCATCATTCCTAATCCACTGCGATGATCCTGACAACATCACAGGCTCAGACCCCACTGGAAAGACATACGTAGCTATCAAGGTAAGAAAGCAATCACTTTGTATCGAGACCCATCTAACAGTGGATTATCTAGGGCATCGTGTATGATGTGACAGGTAACAAGGCATACCAAGCGGGAGGATCCTACAACGGTAATCAAAACATTCATATCAGTCCAGAGTTTATCATTACTAACAACCCTATAGTTTTCGCTGGAAAGGACGCCTCTCGTGCTCTCGGCAAAACCTCAACAAAGGCCGAGGACGTCAGCGCCGACTGGCAGGATCTTCCTGACAAGGAGAAGGGTGTTCTCAACGATTGGATCACCTTCTTTTCCAAGCGCTACAGCGTTGTTGGCCGCGTCGCTGGCGCAACCAACTTTGAATGAAGTTTACCCAAGGCTCAATTGTGAAGTGCGAGCCAAAGGGGAAATGTGTTTGGGGGAAGTGGGATGTCAAAGGTTTCCGTCAATCGGGCGTGAGACGTCGTCATGAGCGAGCGTAGACGTAAAATATGAACTGAGACTACCTTGCGCCAATGACACCACACCGAAATGCAAAAGTACATGTGAGGTGACTCTGATTGATTTGTGTCCAGCATCCCCTGGCTCTCACTGGTGTGTAGCTCATCTGTTGCTGAGCTTGTGTTCCCATGCCAGCCTGATTGAGCCTTCATCGCCCATGGGAAGGCTTAATGTAAAGCTGACTTGTACCTGAGGAAGTGTGCGGAGAGAAACATTCCTCATCCGCTGTTCAGCATATGTTGAGTTGTGTACTGCATGCATCGTTCATAGGCGATGCCACCGGTCTTGCATGACGCTGCGGCACGGTCCCGGGCGCGGTTCCCCTCCATCGACAATAGGAGTTTTCGCCCAATTGCACATGGGAACCTCTTAACCCGACTCAACAACAGTCAATTTGCGGTCAACGGTTCACATTGAACACGAAAATATGTGTGTGAGTGGAATTGGCCATAAATACGGTCGTCGAACAAGTGACAAATGACGTGTCTGGGAGTCTCAGCAGATACCTAGCCATGATCATCATCTTGCGTTTCAGCTCCAGATCTCCTTTCTTTGACTTGGCCTGCAGAAAGATGATTGCTTGGGTAGTATCCCAAGTTTCGTTTCGTAGGGCCTGCTTAATAACTGTTCTCCCGTTGTACGACATACCTTGCAGATGTTTTCGCCCACCATGCTCACCCGCTCAACTTGAACCCGATACCTCAGAATTGGGGACCTGAAAACCGGCTGTCCCTATTGAAAACGTGATGAGATGATTTCTGTTCTCGGCGGAGAGTGATGAATGACTACTGACGGGCAGCGCGAGTCCGAAGGTTCGGTAAAGAACTTGCTTGACGTACCTTAGGTCTTGCAATATTGAGTTCAACAGCCTAAGATCTGGCCTTTGACAATCTGTCTGAATTTTACCGATTTGAAATAACACTCCGGAGTGTGATAGAGAGCACCGTCATGAGAAATAATCCTTGGTGGTACGCGAGGCTCAAGCTAAGTGCAGAGAGAGAGAGAGAGAGAGAGTCACCACCATATTCTTGTTGTCTGCTTCTTTAGTCCAATAAAACTTATGACCATCTATCAGGGAATTAAGTGGAAACAAGTGATTGTAGAACCGCCCCGGAGTGGATTTCGGAGTCTTATTCTGGACTTTTCGTAATAATCAAAACACAGAAAGACCATAGCGATGCCATTTCTCATGTCACTCCGTTCCAAGATACATCATGCATAAGCCCGTGCAAAACTTTGCAATTCCTACGGGAATCGAGATACACGTACCATAAATTCCTGGGCCGCTCAACATCCTGCTAAAACGGGGAATTGCTGCCATCCAACCAATCTAAGTAGAAAGGGAGCAAAGAGGACAACTATGCAAAGCGTCGCCACCAGATCCTTTTCCTTCTTCCATTTTCCCCGCATATCAACAAATGAAAGCCTTTTGTGATAGCCAATAACCTTTGCGATCTATACATAGGAAATTGTTGCCGAAAATATAGTTGCTGTGTGAACAGTTTGGCGTGCATATAAAGGCCAGAGAACCCGGACGTAACCCAATGAACAACCCCCACGCCACTCTCCGAGACAGTAGAACTTGGGACTATCTTCCCTGGCGTGCAAGGGTGCTTCCAACCTGGATGCGGCTGGATCAACTCAATGACGACGTTGCTGGCCGCCAACGAACTCCTACCGGCGGTGCTTGGCGGCGAAATGCGGGTGCCCCTGATCCTGCCAGGCCAAGATGCAGTTATCGCACGGGACGCTCTGCTGCCACGAGTTGCGAAGAACCTTGACACCAAAGCACTGGTGGCTTGGGTCGTTGCGGGCGAAGTGACAATACGACTTGAGTCGTAAAACGGAGTGGTTGCAGGTGAAGAGGAATTCCTCCCAGTCACACATCTTGAGATGGAGTGTTGGTGAGGGTATTGAACACGTCTACAGTTTCAATTGCTCGTAAGTAGCAACTGAAATTCTACTTTAGCTCCTTCGAATATGTTAGGATTACAATAGAACGTTTGTATACGTACAGGTCGACTGTCTGACCTTTCTAAAGGGCTGTCCTACGACGGAGAGTACTTGAAGAAAACGTGTTGTGTTGCGGGCCTCAATGGCTCGATCAGGCCTGTCAAAAGAGTCGTGATATGAAAGAAGTCAATAAGGTGACGGGAGGTTAATCTAATGAGGAGCTCATCGATTTTCCTCGGGTAAGTTCGCTCAATCTTATATACATCTCATCCTAGCGCTTCATGGTATCGGTGGCAGCCGTCTCTGCCATGCTTATTCGAAAACCGATCTGCACCTGGACGTAAAGGGCTCGCTGGAGGGCATTGAGAAATATGGGTACATGGCACACTGTGCGTGTGTTGCTGCCATATTGGCGGCATGCAATGTCGAGATGCTTGTTCGCGCGGATGGCTAGGTCGAACGTGGAGTGGTGGAGGCAAGGTCACTCATTATTTACTCTTTGCGAGCTCCAACAGTTACCCTACGGAGACTAGTCTCGGACTAGAGAGAATATGGATCATGTATGCCGGAAGAGAAGCTGCATCCGCTGTCCGGGCGGAAGATGAGAATGCAGGAACTACCTCATTTCTCGGCACGAGGTGCTTCGAAGCCTGCCTCGGGCCTTAAGGTGACGGTGATATCACAAAGGCGCCACTCAGCCAGATACACTGTTGAAACATTTGTGTAGCTAAACAACTCGACCTTCCTGAGCATGGTATTCAATCCATATGAGTCCTGGCTTAGCATTATGCGTCCGTGAACCTGTTTTCGACGCTCTGGATTTCGCGATGGAGAACGATCATCCGGATCCCTGCCGGGCCATGCCGTGAAGACGCAGTGCTTTTAACTTTGTTATGCAATGTTTGCTATCCTCAGACCGGACAGCCCCTATCGTCGCCATTCTCTTGTCAACCTCAGGAGACCGGACACTCATGTTTTTTCCTCCTAAATTCCCGTCAAGTTCGTCTCTCATTTGAACGTAGTGTGACATGATAAACGTCAAAATTTCTGACGGCGCAGAGCGTGATACCTGTGCCACCCAATCAGTCTAGGCCGTCGGCTCGGAATCCAAGTAACTTGCATCTTGCGGAGCGGCCCGATAGGCGGGTTTAAGTAAGCTGAGGTGTACGCTCGCTCCTTGGCATAGAGCAAACATCAAATATCCGTCTGCGAGACGGGCGAGCCAACGTGTGAATCCGAAGATACGGCCGAACGATTTCCTTGAAGGAGAGTCCTAGAACGGCATTGTACTGGAGACGTAAGGAGACTGTCAAGCCGCGCGGCGCACAAAGTGAAGGTTCATATTGTGGGGGGG